CTTCTTCCAGAACTGGAACTGCTGCAGACCACCATTCCTCCAGGAGGCAGGAGGTGAGATCCTCCTCTATGCTGCACTCTCTGCCTACTGAAAATATCATCTGCTCTTCCCAAAGGGACAAAATCCACTGTTTGGGTCCAGCCAGCTGGTAAAAGAAAAGTTCACGGTATGTTATTTAAGTTAGATATATCTTTTATCATTGCAGAGTTTATTGCACCTTTTGAAATTTTGCAAAGTTCTGTTTCTTTAAAAACAAAACAGAAGCCAAACCCCACCTCCTCTCTGAAACTGCTGTGAATATAGCTGTGTCACTTGAGATGAAAATGTGTAACTGCAGTGGCAGATAGCAAAGATCCCACTGATGGTGAAGGGCCACGGCTGCCTGGGTGCTCCTGCCAGGCACAGAGCTTGCTCTCCTTCCCCCCAGAGCTGGGCACAGGGTGTCACTGCAGGTGACAGGGGGCTGCCCGGCAGCAGGGACTGGGAGACAGCCCCTAAGGACATGTTAAATGCCACTCAAGTCTGATACAGTTGGTGCCCAGAACACGAAAGGAAACAGCCTCGAACTACTAAGGGGCTTAATTCTTCATGATTTACCCAGTTGTCATCGGGAGAGTAGAAAGGTCTTGAGCATCAGATACATTCTTCCATTCATCGGAATAATAGCAAGGAGAGGAAGTGAGCAGCAGTAAAAGATGTAATTTGCTGTTAAATTATAGCTTAAACAATAATCTCTTCCTTCCTGCCCCATGACCCCTCCTGACCTTCTTCTGCCTGTGCTGCCCTGCCTTGCCCCTGGTGGTTGGTGAGCAGTTGTCCGTTGCTTCTTCTCTGCTGTGAAACCAGATTAGATTATGCAGTCCCCTTCCGTCCGCCACCCGGGGCTCTTCTCAGAAGAAACTATTGAACAACCTCTGTGACAGGCAGAAATATAAGTGTGTTAACTTAAGCAGATCATGAAATAGCTGCAGCAGTGCAGAGGAGCTGTGTGACCCATGTCAGGTGTGCATGATGGTGTCCTGTCCTTCTGAAGTGTGACATCTCTGTGGTGGAAACATGATGCAAAGTCTCTGGGCTGGGGCACTGGGAAAAGCTGGTCCTTCGGTCCCTGGTCGGTGAAATGTGATTTTTGCTGGAAACGTGGTGTTTCTGCAGCCCATTTTTATACAACAACATAGGTCAAGAGCTAAACAAGTGACTGTGGGCTGTGGCACCCACCAAGAGCAATAGACCTACAGACTTGCTATTGCAATTTTAAGGCTGGTAGAAGTCAGTTGAAATATCTCTGCCAATTTTTTATCGAATCAAAGCAGGGAGCCTGGCTTGAAAGCCATGGACCAGAAAGGCAGAAGTATGAACTGTTCATCTTGGTAGAAAAGTGTCAGCAGACAGAAGTGAAACAGGAGTTTTGAAGTTAGTAAAGCTGCTGGCAGACTGCTGCTGGGGTTTCTGATGGACAGGGTTGCAGAAGCTGCAGCCTTTTAGCACCTTTGAGGATGAGGAAGGCATGGTGTCAGACACTGTCCCCAGCTGGTACCTGTGGTCCCCACACAGGACAACTCATCCCATTGGAGTCACCTGGTGACATTTCTGAGCCTTCATTCAGAAACTGAGAGACGTAGCAATGCTTCTATCTCAAGCTAACGACAATGAGCCACCTTGATTTTCGTTTCCCCAGAAGTGCCCTCTTTTTCTATCTTCGATCACAGCATCTTTGAAGTATGTCACAGTTTTTTGGTGGCACATTTCACACTTTCCCCCCACAACTGACATTGGGTTGAACTCTCATTTTTCGGTTAGCTGCCCTGGTTCAGTACTTGGCAGCAGGGTTCATTTGAAATGCGACAGCAACAGCAAATGGAAAGCCCCCAGCAAGGAAACTGGTATGAGACATTACCAGACCTGTGTGAGCAACAACATGAAAGTTAGAGGGAGGTTTGGATGTGTTCCTACACTCTGTGTGTGTGTGTCCAGCCTGTGCAGCCACCCCCCGTGTGCTGCAGCAGTTGCACTCCTGCTTTCAAGTGATCTGATTTTGTAATTGCATTCAGTGCTTGTGAAGGGTATCAAACTGGCTATGTCCAGCCCTGTCATCAGTTCATTGGATTAAAACGAATATAGTGTCAGAGATGCCAGTGCAAGATGTTTGTGCCTCCCCGTGTCCTGTAGCTGCTGGGAGGGTAGTGTGGCCCGATGAGTGGGGTGGTGGGAGATACCTACCTCAGCCAGCCTGCAAGGTGTATGTTCCAGCCCTCCCCAGCTGTAGCCTCATCACTTGGAAAGCATGAAGTTGATGTTGTCCAGACTCGCCTCCAGAGAAATCTGGGAAGTCTGAAAGACAGAGAGCATCCTATGCTAAGAAGGTTAAGTTGCACATATTCAAAAGCTTGGTGGATGTGATGAGAGAGCTAGGTTTTTGAAGTAAGATCAAAGCTGACCAGGCAAGGCCTGAGAATTGATATCTTGTTGGAAAGTCCTCAGATCCCCCTTGTCTCCCAGAGGTTGCTGAGCCCACCAGAAATGTAGATTGCTGCTGCCTCCTCACTGCTTAATTCATCCCTTAGCACTTCCCTGTATGGTGTGGCAGAGCTTGGCCAGATGGGTTATGAATTTAAAGGACACTCCTTCTACTAAATCAGCCCAAAAGCTCCAGGTGGAAAAAGCAAAACAAAAGTGGGTAAACAGAACAACAAGATCCAGTTTTCTAGCTGGGAAGCCTTGAGGCTTCCCACATATTGCTTGCCACATATTGAGGCTTGAGGCTTGCCACATATTTCAGTCCCAGCCCATCTGAATCCCAGACAGCCCTGTACTCAGACAGGCTCTGTTCTAATGATGAAGAACAGAGGTTTTGGTCCTACATCAAGAGGATAGGTTATCACATCTCTGTTCTGAGAGTGAAAGATGCTCTCTTGCCTCTTTGTCCTCATTAACTTGCTGCTCCTGAGCAGTCATTAGGAGTGATGGTGGTCCTGCTCAGAGCTGCTGTGGAGTCTGGCTGTGGCGGTGAGGACCATCCCTGCATTCCCTGCCCAGCGCCATCCTGCCCTGGCACATCCTCCGTAGCCCTTCCGAGGCTCCCTCCCTCTCCAGACCTCATGAAGCACCTGAGCTGTACAGAGATGGTGTGAGATTTCTGTGGTGAGGAAGTTTTGCTGCCTTTGGCCAGGTGTTCATGGTACGTAGTTCTGGGCGAATGGCTGCTAGAGGAAGGGGCGTTGCTCGGAGAGAGACAGCTTAGCAGATTCTGTTCGGAAATGCTTTGTTTGTAGGTAGCTTTGTATCTCCTCCACCCATTTTATTAGCGGTTACTGTAGAAGTATTTTTTTCCTGCACATCTAAAATAGCAGTTTGGTCTGTGCAGAGCTTTCATCTCCTGTTGGTGAGACTGGCAGTGCAGATAAAGCACGCTGGCTTCGGGTAGTCTCTCAAATCACTGTGCTCTCAGCACACAAATCCCATACTGGGGAGGAAATCTTAAAGGACTGTTTAGCCTTACTGGGGAACCGTCCATCAAATTAAAGTCACAAAGATGCGTATTTTTCTAGAGTGATGCAGGAGACCCGTCAGCACACTGGGCTGGGGAGGGCAGAGGGTGAGCCCTGCTGCTCTGGGCTTAGCAGTGTGAAGTCCCTGCCAGAGCCATGCCACACCTTGGGCTGAGCCGGGAGGAGATACCCATCTCTGCACGCACAGCGCCATTCGTTGCTGCTTTGATCTTCTAAAAAAAGAAGTGGGGGTAGAAAAGGGGAGAAACCAACCTCTTTAAAAGGTCTTTTTTGCAACCAGACCCTCTCCTAATTCTGCTTCCCCGTTGTGCTGTGAGGGAAGGCGAGATGCTGCTTTCATGTTTTGGTGATGACAAAGCAGATATTCCCATTTCTACCTGAGTTTCTGGAAAGTGTGGTGAGAAGCCTACATCCCCTCAGGAAGCTGTCAGGGCTTTGCTACTGTCCCGTGCAGATCGTGTGGGCTCTGCTGGGCAGCAACACAGCCACTGCCCAGGTGGATGGAGGGCTCACCTCAACGATTGCATGCAGAAGGGTCTCTCCTCAAGGGGTTTTCTCCTTTTAGCCTGTGCCTTGAGTTGGAGGAATGCAAAGGCCAAGCTAGATGTGGGGGTGTAAGGCTGCTTAGGTGGTGGCAGGGTCTGGCCCAGCATGTGCAGTTGGGTAGAGCCCAGCCTGGGGTTGGGAGGTGTGAGTGGTGGTGTGTGCCTATTATTTTCCATCCAGGGGCACGTGGCCTGGGGCTAGTTAAGTAGGTTTTACCCACTTAGCTGTTTGTGGGTGAGTGTGTCTGTCACAGGGTAGCACGCACTGCTCTGCCTTTGCAAATCCCAGTCTCTGTTGTGGCTCGTACCCACTGCCCTTTGCTTGGACAGCGGGGACAGATGAGCTGTCCCTCCTGGGGACAAGCAACCGAGCATGATCCTGTACAACCCCTTCTCCCACCTTTTCCATTTAACTCGTGAAGAGACTGAGCTCTGTGCCAGTAACACAACTTTATTGATGTTGGTTTCTTTGGAACAGTTTGCTGCCGTTTTCTTTAGACAGTCCTTTACATTATAAGGTTGGATAGACCCCTAATACAGAGTCCTTAATCCCACTGCCCCACCCCAACTCTTTGGATAGTAGTTTTAATGCCATTTGACGCAAACACTTTTGATGTAAAGTTTTTCCCCAGTACAAGGAATTGCAATTTCTTCTGACCTTGTATTACAACTGATGATCATTTTATAGCCATTATGTAGTATGAATGGTGCTGTAAAGGTATCTAAAGCAGACTAAATCTGCCTCTCTTGCTATGATTGTACATTATTACCACCTAAAATATAAGATGTGACTTATAAAAATATCCTTATTTCTTTTTCTGCAGTGGTTTCACTTTAACTTTTTTTTTCTTTTTTGATATTTGGAAGAACCTCTGTTTCTTTGTCACAGCTACAGCTGCATAAAAACTGACCCAAGGCGGGGGTGAGGGACAAAAAACCCCAAAACGCTTTATCACTGCCCGCACTTGTTTTGGGTTTTCTGGGAAAACGAAAGACCTTTTTTGCAGGGGAAAGCTATAATTTTTCTCAAATTTGCATAAGGCAGATAATTATCAGTGGCAACCTAGATCATTACATCAGGATTTGATGGCTGTGGTTGTCTAATTTTCATGTGTCTGAGTCCTTCCCATTAGCAGAAAGTCCCTCCATCCCATTCACACACAAAGAAACTGTGAAAGCCTGCGACTGAGTCCCAATTTAAATTGAACATAGCAAGTACAAAATGTGTGCTGTGTGTGTTTTGCACTAATATGTTACGCATGGGAGCTGAACTTCAGCTTTTTCACTGGTCTCAGATTTGGACTTTGCTAGCTTGGGAGATGCTTCCTTAAATTCCTTGTTGACAAAGTAATAACAAATAGCATCCAGGCAGCAGTTTGTGTTGGCAAGGACTGAGGCGAAGTGGACAAAATTATTAACACTCTGTATTGCAGAGCAGTTGGAACTGATGGAGTCCATTATAAAGCGAAGGAGATGCCCGAGGTAAAGAGGTAAAAAGCATATGATGAACACAGCCATGTTTGCAGACACAATGTAGACGGCCTTCCTGATTAGCTTTTCCTTGTGACACTTCTCATTCTTCTTTCTGACGAGTTCTGCAATGACTTGTATGGAGCAATAGCTCAAGATGATCAGTGGTATGAAAAACCCTATGATAATAGCACACAGCGTGATAACTGAGGGCTTAACAGAAGATTTTTCAAAGCAAAGTTCGTCTTGTCCTCGCTCCTCTAACTTTTTAATGAGGGACATCACACAGATGATGGCTATCCACAGAAATCCAGAGGCAAAAGCTGCCTTCAGCGGCGATCTCAGCACCTTGGCTTTCAAAGGGTACTTGATTGCAAGGTACCTATCAGCTGCTACGACAGTGATGATACCGATGCTCATTAAGCGGTTTATAAAATAGCCGCCTTCCAGAACCAGGCACCAACTATCTGCCTTCAGATGATGGAACTGGGAGAAAGTCTTAAAAGGCAAAGTGAAGAGCAGGAAGCAGTCGGCCACAGCCAAGTTGACCATGTATACTCTGGTTTCTGTCCATTTGCCGAGTTTGCAGCAGAACACCCACAGCGCCAGCCCGTTCAGTAAAATGCCCAAAAGCAAAACTGGGATGTAAAAACACAGCTGGACAAGTGGAAAGTTTTCATAGGCTGTGATATTGCAGCTGCTGAGGTTCATTTCAGGGGTATTAAGAGGCGCAGTTCCTGCAAAGCAGATTAAACCTTTTAGAATCTGCAGTCTAGACTGAAGCAATTATTAATTCAGATAGTTTAGTGCTTTACCAACAGTGAAAACCAGACTGTAGAGATGACTCTGCAGAGCAGAGCTGGCTGTAGGGTATGTAGTGGGATAAGGAGGGTGCGGGACATGAGCCTGATCAGTTGTGGAGGAGAGAAAAGGGTTCTGGCTGGGTCCCGTGCGGGGAAGGCTGCTTGAGGAGGGCAGCAGGGGAAAATGCTTGGGCCTCTCTTGTAGGCCACATTCAGACCAGGCAGCAGCAGGTATCCTACAGCTAGGAGTTATGTGAGCTGTTACAACCATCTGATAATGGAAAGGGAATGCCAGCTCTCATCCCTTTCCGTACAGTGGTGCGCACGAGAAGCCAACCAGCATCCTCAGAGCTCAAAATGCTCTGGAAGATGTGCAGCAGAAGGACAGCTGTACCCTCCTTCAGTCCGAAGCTGTCTCTGCAACACTTCTTGTTAGTGATGAGAGCAATTATTAGTACATCTCTCATTAGTTTTAGCTGCCATTGAATCCTGTACTCAGTTGGCAGCATCTAGCGCTCTGCAGCAAGAGTCGTAGTACTGGGGTCTGTATGCTGCCTTTCAAGGATCATGAAAAGTTGGTCTTTGTCTCAGAAGCATTAGAGCAATCTGCCACAATTCCAAGACAAAAAGAAGCCGCCAATGCCATGGTGAGAAATGTGATCAGCAGCCATGTGAAATAGAGAGACCAGCTGTATCTGGTCTAGTGGCTGGTTTTGTCACCCTGGATCTAAGGGCAATATTGCTGTTTTCCATCCTGCTTTGGAGGAGTTAATGCAGGATTATATTCCAGGTGCAGCTGTTCATGGATAGAAAAGACCTGGGAAGTCTGAGATTTTGGACTAAGGGGAACAAGGCTCTGTGGGTTCAGGTTCCCAGGGCTCAAAAGCATCTTGAGCAAGCAAACCATAGGGCAGTGCTGCAGCATCTATGTGCTAGCAGCTCCTGGCTAGCTTTGAAAATCATGCTAGGAATAATGCCAGGAGACCTCTTCAGAGGTGAGAGAATGTGCTACACCCAATACCTGCAGCATTTGTGTGCTTTGGACATGAGGAATGAGTTACGAGGCCAGAATATAAGAGAGCGGATTATAGCAGAAAACAGGAAGATCTAGCAGAGATTGAGGCTCTTAAGCATCCAAAACATGTCTAATGTGGCCAGTATCCAAATGAGCCATTGAAAATACATAGGCTCTAGTCCTCTTAGTTTCTCTACCACCATTTTGGTGTCCCACTATGTCTGGGGAAAGGCAGTGCCTTGCAGAGCTCAAATAACCGGGTCAGCAAATATCCAGGAGGAATTACCTGGTTGCTCGCCGTCCTCGAAGAGAGTGAATGTTCCTCCAGACCAGCTGCAGTGCTGCACGCAGTCGCGATGAGCCCTCCTAGCGCTGCTCCTTTCATGTGCCCAGCAAGGTATTCTGATATGACCATTTGCTGCTGGCACCAGCAATGCTGGTGGAGAAAGCACCCCCACCCCTCCTCAATGCGTTTCCCCAGGGTTGAGCTTCCTCTGTCACCACTGTCATGGCTCATAACACCCCCTGTTGACTGAGGAGCCTGTGATAGCCCTGCAGTGAGGTGAGATGCTCGTCTGCCATTTGGCCCTGCAGCAGTCCCTCCAGTGATGGAATGCCTTTGTTTTTTTCCTTTGACTTAGTTTCCAGTGCCTGATGTCTGACAGGGTGATGCCCATAGACCTTCCTCGCCCAATAGGCTGTGCACATTGCTTGGAGTGGACCTTGGAGGGTCCTGAGGTCTTCTCTGTGCCTTCTGAACTGCCACTCCTGCTGGGGCTGGGGCAGGGACTGCTGCCTGCTGTCACACTGCTGAGCCCCAGGACAGAGGCAGTCCCAGCCGGCCCCCAGACCCATTCACAGAGCTGAGGGCTGTGGTTTGCAGACAGTTTGGTAATTATTATAACAGGGTTTCACTCTGAATCACGGTAATTCTCTCATCCTCCATAGTTCTCATCAGCCAGCAATTCTGAGAAAACCTGGCACCGTGACCTTGTGACCTGGTGACTTTGTGACTGCTCTGCAGTTGCAGGTGTCTGCTGGCCAGGGTCTCCTCCTTGGCTTTCCATTGCAACCCAGTTACAAGAAGAGATCAGACGAGTTGATCAACAAGCTCAAAGGTCCTGCTGTTAGTAGCTTGAATTGCTGTCTTGGCCAAACACATTTCCCCTTCCCACTTTCCAGGTCATCTTGGGGAAGTTTCAGGAGTATTTCTGCATTGTCTGTCTGCGCATTACAAACCAGCCTTTGATATTAATTCCTTGCCAGTGTATGTATAGTCAGTATAAAGCTTAGCTTAAATATTTCTCCTGAGTTTCCAGGGGCTGCTTTTGCCTTTCTGGTGGATGCTTATAAGTAGTTACTGACCTATTAGTACGCCCAGTTCGTTAATCTCCAACTGCCATCATTTTCATGTCATGGTCCTTGTTAGTACTTTAGTTTTCAAAGTCATCCAGCTCCTGGGTTGTGATAGTTTCACCACTGTATAGAAAACACTTCACTTTGCATCATCCTCAAGTGTTGTCCGCTCACTCCTATTGTCTATGTCAAGGCAACCACTACTGGGTCAAAATCAAGCCTGGAGGGAACTCAGCTCATAGTATCTCTCAGTGTGATGCTTCCCATCCACAGCTTGGCGCTCTCATCCCTAGACGAGGGCAGCTATGTCTCCCATCAGCCTGGTGAGGCTCCAAGGGAGGGACAAACTATGTCACCAGACACAAAGCAGCTGGCTGCGATCAGCACGTTCACCAGGATACGTCAGAGCAACTCAACACCAGCTACCAGCAGGCAAAGCTATAATGAGGTGTTATCTGTGGAGAACTTACATGGTGTGGCACTCAGGTCCCTGTCTGATTCCTGGACACCACTGGGTCACGATCCTCACGCTTCTCTTATCTCCACCTGAGGTCCCCATCAGCCACCCTCTAGGCTCTTGCAGCTGCTTATGGCTCCCTTCTTCCATGCAGTCACAGGTTTTATCACGTCTGCCCTGGACCGGTAATGCTCATTGGGTATTTTCCCCTGCCTCTGCAGTTCTCAGCCTGTCTCATCGCTGCCAGCGCTGGCACTACGTGGCGCAGTGTGGGTGACACTTGTGCTGTTTTCTCACTTCCTTGCTGGCAGATCTCCAGCAGAGCAGTTGGGGGCTACGGCACCTCTGAGTACCAGCGCCTGTACAAAGTGCAGGCTGCTGCAATGTACTTCCAAGGAGCTTTTACTGACACCAGTGTCTACCACACCTTGGCTGGAAAAGTGATTTTCTTAGTGAAAGAAGCCAGAGAGGCAAAATACTCCTGTAAGGTGAAGCACCACTTAACTTTTGCCTTTCTATTTGTTCCCTCCCATTTAATGTTATTCAGACATGTTGAGAAACTGGACATTTTTCAGATTTTAGCATAGTAGAGCTGCTACTGGCCAGAACCTTCTCTTTCTTCCCCCATCCTAGAGAAGGGACTGTATTTGGTGATCTCTGCCCCTTGATCCTATTTTGGATGACATATTTAAAAGCCTTGTTGCTGATGTGACATTTCATGTGTCAAGTCCTTTCAAATTCTGGACTTCTCAGGCTCCTCATCTTTACTGAAAGCTGTGATAAAGTAATCAGATAGTTTTCGGGACGTACCTGGAAAATTTTGTTGTTTTTATCAGCGGAAGTGCTAGATAATCTCACTTCTCTGCTTGTACGTTGTAGGTAGCTTTTTATATCTAAGGAAAGAATTTGCTAAGACCCTTTTGATCTTTAAACTTCTTGATCTCTAAGACTTATTTCCATTTTGTGCAATCATTTTTCCTTCCCTTGTAAGCTCTGCCTGATGTCCTGCTTGAGTTTGTTGCCCAGCCAAAGAAAGCCCTTCTTATGAGGTTTTCCTGTGCTCCGAGTGCAGGTTGCTGATAGACAGCACATCTCAGATTTGATGGGCTCCTTCTTCCTTTTCCTGCCAGGGAAGATCTCGGTCTCCTGTGCCTCCCAGAGAACACGTCCTGCTGGCTGCAGCCACTGGCACATCACAGCGGGCCAGGGCCTCTGGCAAGGTAAGAGAGGTACAGGTGTGTGAGGGGGACAAGGGACACCGTGCTGCCCTGTGGCATTTGAGTTCTGCAGCCCTCTGTCCTGTGTGGTTCCCTGGCTTTCTCATGGGAAGACATGATGTTGCAACAGCAGATCCTGACCAAAACAGAACTACAGGGTTGGGAGCAGAATGTGTCATTCTTATTTTTAGCACGGAAAGCCTGTGAAACGGCAGTGTTAGGCTAACTGCAGCAACCTCACACACGTGGCTGTTGAGACTGTCACCCCTTTCCCCTTCCTTAGCCAGCGTGCAGGAACTGAGCCATGTCAGATAACAGGCTCGCAGGGCTCTCTGCAGTGTAGCCCTCGCCGTACTCATCCCCAAAGGGATCAGCCCTGTGTCTCTGTGCAAACATTTCAGGGAGGGCATGGCAAAGCCTGTGCTTCCCAGCTCCCTGCCACTGCTGCGGTGCTTGAGGAGTCCCCTGGAGACTGCTGTGCCCTTCTTGCAGAGAAACCAAAACCCCGGGGAAACCTCTAAATCAGCACCACCTGACTTGCTAAAATGCAGAACTCCCCGATACATGTCCTTCAGCCCCCGGGAGAGGAGTGCTGGTGGAGCCCAAACTTCTGGTCAGAACTCAAATTTCAGGCCTGTCCAAATGCCACCAAACAGCAAAATACTGTCTTATGCCAGCCCTTGCCTTCCCTGCTTCGAAGGGCCAAAAATGCTAAATCTGATGGCTACTCAAAAACAAGATTCTGAATTACTTTGTAGGCTTGTCCTTGCATTATCTTTTCCTCTCAAGCCTAAATTTTGACTGCAGCATCCATTTGCTCATTTAAAGTTTTAGCCATTGTTAGCATCTTTTTCTTTTAAGGGTCAGAGAGATTATAGCTTGCCAGCAGTGTGCCCAGGTGGCCAAGAAAGCCAACAGCATCCTGGCCTGTATCAGGAACAGCATGGCGGCTAGGGCCCGAGAGGTGATTGTCCCCCTGTACTCAGCACTGGTGAGGCCTCACTTTGAGTACTGTGTCCAGTTTTGGGCCCCCTACCATAAAAAAGACATTGAGGTGCTGGAGCGGGTCCAGAGAAGGGCGACAAAGATGGTGAGGGGTCTGGAGAATAAGTTTTATGAGGAGAGGCTGAGGGAACTGGGGTTATTCAGCCTGGAGAAGAGGAGGCTGAGGGGAGACTTTATTGCTCTCTACAAATCCCCGAAAGGAGGGTGTAGAGAGGGGGGGGCCGGTCTCTTTTCTCAAGTCACAGGCGACAGGACAAGAGGAAATGGCCTCAAGTTGAGCCAGGGGAGGTTCAGGCTGGATATTAGGAAAAATTTTTTCACTGAAAGGGTCATCAGCCCTTGGAATGGGCTGCCCAGGGAGGTGGTTGAGGCACCATCCCTGGAGGCGTTCAAAAGACGGGTTGATGTAGTGCTGGGAGGTATGGTTTAGTGATGATGCTCCTTGTTTGTTGTGCGGGTGTCTATTTTTGTCAGTTAGGTTGACCGTTGGACAAGATGATCTTTAAGGTCCCTTCCAACCTAGAAGATTCTGTGATTCTGTGAAATGTTAGCAGAATGCAGTGGGTCCAGCCCTGCTTGCTGGAGCTGCTGATGGACTGTGGCTGCTGCACCCCGCTATTATTAGCCAGCCTCTTGTGCTAGGAAATGGGAAAGATGTGGGGATAACCATGTCAGTGTCCTCATGGATTGCTATTCCAGTGCTGTATGACGGCTGGTAGTTTGTTGTAGCTCAGGTACTGATAACTCATCTCCTTCATTTACTGCGAGTGTTCAGGGAGCTGAGGTTTTGTTCAGACCGAAGAAAGATGTCAGAAACCCATCATAAACATCGTTATAACTTGACATATTAACTGGACACTAATTTTTTGTCCAAGGTAGTGCATAGGTCTTCACGTAATCAGAAAGTTCATTGTTCATCTTTGGGTTACACTATAAATATCCTGTCGTAAGGCAGATCTCATATCATGGTAACTAAGTCTTCTCTTACAACCTCCAGTACAGGTTTAGCATTCATAATAGAGGACTCCGATGTATAATGGTAATAAATAAATATGCATTTATTAATTTATAGATATGTTACTAGGAGATAGCTTTATTTCCACTTACAAAAGAATGTTTCCTTTTGTGTTGCATTCACTACAAACAACAAAAAATGACTTAACATTGACAGCCATTGTGAAGTCAACAAATTTCCCCTTTACAATAAGGAACACTTTGTTTTCTAAATTTAGAACATGAATGGCGGGAGACCTCAGTTTGCTTCCTACAAGAAAACAACGTTCACTTCACCCAGCTCTACACGCATTAAGCTTGGCTATGTTTAGGAATGATAAGTATAAATTCTATTGCCCAGCTGGTGTACTGGTTTTGGCACCGACAGGGGGTGAGCGAGTGGCTGAGCGGTGCTTAGCTGCTGGCTAGGGTGAAACCATGGCAGCTGTTTAGTTCAGTAGAGTGCCTTGTCTGTGATCCTTCCTTGATTTAAAAACTATAGGCTTGGCTAAGAAGAAAGAGCTCTGAAATTCTTTGGTTACCAAACAGTAGCAAATGGCATCTCAACAGCAGTTAGCATTTGCTTTACTATGAGGCCTATAAATGAGGCCACATGCACAAAAGCATTACTGTTTAGTGTTTCAGAGTAGACGACCTAATTGGAGCTCATTTTAAATTGGACAAGCTGCCCTGTGTTAACAGGGAGAAAACATTAATATGATTGGGTTTACCAAAAAAGTCAGTTGTTCCCTTTCTGGATTAACAGTAGGGTAACAGGTTAATATGAATCAACGTTCATCTTTTTTCTAAATACTAAATATTTTCATAATAATCTGCTTGGAACAGGCATTCTTTATAACCGATGAGATGCAAAATCCCAGAAGTGGATCCCAGAGCCAAAAGTGTTTTTGAAGGACCTCTTCACTGCTTCTGAAAACAGAAGTCTTTTCCCTTGCTGAACACCACTTGCCTGGACACGTAAGTGATGCCTGTCATGAAGACTGACAGCACTCCACAAAGGAGAATGGGCTAATGGGGACCCTAAGCCTCTTGCTCTTCAAGGATAGTTAATTGCAGAGTGTTTGTTGACAGCTACGAGGTGACAACACTCGTGCATCTCCTTAAGCAGTAGATGGTTTTTAAGATCAGGCACTATTTGTCTCTCATATCTTTTCCTGTCTTTGAAAGTAGACTTTAAAAGGTAGAATGAGGGCCAAACAGTGTGCGATGGTTAAGTTGGTCACATACACACATGGCCGGTTTGCTCTGCTTGCAGTGAAATACCAGTGATGCCAGAACATTAAATAATACACCAAAGAAGAAAATTGGACATAAGTGATCAACTGAATGACCTGAGTAGTTTCATCTATTTTTGTGCTGCAGTTGCTCACTGCAGCATGCTGGAATCTCTGCCAAATTATTGACAGAAAGCAGGTAGATGTAACATTTGAATGGGGAGTACTTTCTGTGATGGGAATAGTTGTTTCCGGTGTTGTTTGGCCAACGGGTGGACAGTGTTTTCAGCATGTGGTCTGCAGCCACCAGGGGGTGACAGGCCACTTGTTGGGGATCTGTTTGTAAGTTGTCACTAAGAAGGTTAATTGGCTGTAGGTTTAAATGAGCAGAATATGGGTTTGCATTCCCCAGAGGAATTTTTGAGGCGTTTACAAGCCAGAGGACACTGAAAGTCAAGGACCATGAAGCAAACATAGAGCTATCACATGCATTTCAAAAACTCTATATAATGTTTCCCATGCTGACTGTAAGTTATTGAGGTGACTGTGTGGTAAAATGTTAGATGAAATATCTGTGCAGATAAACACGAAGTAGTCACACCCTGCCACTGGCTTCCCTCTCAGCCCAGGTTTCTCTATGGGTCTCTTCTGGTGCCCCAAGACCTTGTGGCTTAACTGTTTTGAGCTGCTCTGCTGTCACTTCCCTGTGGGGTGGGAGGATATGTGTGCATAGTCAGCAAACAAAGATACTATAGAGGAATTAGGTACCTGAAAGCCAGACATTGAAACTGGTTCCTGGTCTGGGTTGCAGCTAGGATAGATCAAGGCTTCATCACACAGGACAATGCTAAGAAGCCATCAGTGGTGGGCCTGCCCTATCTCTGCAGAAGAGCCTTATACATGCCAATCTCACCAAACTTCCCCTGAAAACTGTTCATGGATGGTGAGGGAGGGATCAGGACTGCATCTGCTTCATGTTTCTCACTGCTGTTTTCTGCACATCAACACTCCTGTAGCATGAGGCTGTGATGGCTCTGGCAGATGCGATCACCTCTCGCCAGACAGGACACCCATTGAAGATTTGATCCAGTTAAAGTCCAACAACAAACCTTTCACCAGGGCTTACGGTAGTCACTGGGGTGAGATCAGATCTTCACAGCTTTACACTTGATATGCGCAATGCTAAGGGTCTGTTCTGTGGTCGACAACGCTTTGCATAGCTCAGTTTTTCCATGCAACAATGGCTTTATTTATACCCACAATGATTTTAGCCTCACAAATGCCAGGGCATTGCAACAAGCTAACACGAGTGTTATATGGCAGGAACGGGGCAATAGTCTCAGGCCACTGTCTGACTCCTGCGCTTCACTCCAAGCACAGCAATAGCTGCATTGGTGATTGCAGGTGATAGCTGCAAGCTTTGAAATTATACAGGCTGGTAGGAAACTACCACTGTAAGGGCAAATTCTTTGATGTGAGCAGCACAGATGTAGTAGGTTTGGCATTGTAGTATAAGGGCTTATTCTTGTTTTTAAGTGACCATATATTTTACAGTGCTAGAAGTGGATTTGTGTTTTACTGCAAGGGTGCTCAGTTTCCTGTGTTTAACTGCATGATATGTATGAATAAGCATACAGCAGAAACAATGGTCTCCATACCACATGGCTCTCCCTCTCGTCCAGGAGATGCCTGAAGCTGCAATTCAACAATCCAAGACAATACTCAGAGCTAGAGTCAAGTCACTGATGACAGAAGGAAAAAATACAAGTTAATATCAGACACCTTGTAGGGGTTTGCCCCTTTTTGCAGATATGCCTATACCTACAATGATTGCAAATACTGTAGGTGGGCCCAGTCCCTCTGCCTTGAAACTTCAGCAGCACTGTGGCTCTTAATGCCTATAATGCATACTGCACCTTGTTCATATCATTACTTGGTCTGTGGGTGGCTGTGACTCTTGGCTTTGGTTCGTCTTGAACCTCGTTGATATACAGGTTGGGAACACAGAAGGAAATTCCTGACATTCCTTGGCTGCAAAGTAATAGCAAAATGCATCCAAACAGCAGTTAGAATCTGCTAAGCATGCACAGATCTGAATAGAGGTTCTAACTTTCCAGAGCAGAGAAAAATCTTTAACAAAATCCACTGCAAACCGCAAGAGCAGTGTGATGTAGAAAGGTGAAAAACATACAATGAACACGCACAAATTCACAGAAATAATGTGGATTGCTTTCCGCATTAACTTTGTCTCGTAAGGGCTAGTGGCCATCTTCTTTTTGAGATATGTGATGACTTGTACTGAGCAGAAAATCACAATCACTAAGGGAATAAAATACCCAAAGATAATGGAGAATAATAATGAATAATTAGGTTCAGTAGATTCTTTCTGAAAGCAGATTTTTTTCTTATCTGTAGTATTATATGTATCCTTTGGATAAAATCTTTGCCTCAAGTTGACGTAAATTATCAGCGTTATCCAAAGAAACACACAGGTAGAAGCCGATTTTAGTGGGGATCGAAGCATCTTTGCTTTTAGAGGGAACTTGATTGCAATGTATCGATCAATTGCAATCAGGGTGATGATAAGGATGCTCATAGGCCTGTTTATAAAATAGATGTTCTCTATGACAGCACACAGTTTGTCGGAGGGATAGTTACACTTGGTAAAATATATGACGAAAGGCAGGGCGAAGAGCAGGAAACTGTCCGCAACCATGAGATTGATCATATACACCCTGGTCTCGGTCCATATCTTGAGCTTGCAGCAGAAGATCCAGAAGGCAGTCATCGTCAGTGGGATCCCCAAAGAAACCGTTGGGAGGTAGATGATAAATTGAAATAGCACAATGCCTTCCTGCGATGTATTGTTTATAGTGCAGTTAATCATGTTGGGCTGTTCTCTGCAAGAAAAGGGTGTAAGCATGAGTCTGAGCTGGGGGACAGGTCCTCTGGGCTGGGTTGTGCTGCAGAGCCACTGCTGTCATGGCTCTGTGGCTCCTCATGCCCCTGCACTGCATATGTTGGCAGCCCCCGGAGGGGCTTGGTGGCTTATTGTCACCGTCTATCCCTCAGCCATCAAAGTAACACTGTCTCTTGCCACCAGCTAAGACAAAAACACAGAAGCAATCCTCTCTTGCAGCTATTGTGGGGTTAAGCCTGCCTTGCCCTCGTCCAGTCCTGTTTTCCACAGTTTAAGTAATAGCAAAGGGTCTGCAAAGCAGAATGATATTTTTTGCCGTCCTTTATCTTTGCTGCTGCTGTGGTTATCAGAGTGCCACCTGCTTTAGGGCAGCCCGAAGCAGAGCTGGGCAGCATTCCCCCTTTGCCCTCCAGGGCCCTTGCTTTGCTGCTGAAACCGCCCCATGGGTTTACTCTGGGTCTTGCCAGCCCTGTGAACCTCCACAGGACTTGAGCCCTTCCAAATAGTTCAGGTGGCTCTACTCCTGGGGGCTACTCCTGCAGAGTGGTGGGCGGGTGGGTAGGTGGGTGCCAGCTGGGGGCAGGCTGTCCCCAAGCACAAACCCGCTCCTCTCGCTGCAGGATGCTGCAGGTGAGGAATAGCTCGGCACGCGTATCACCAGCCCCAGCAGATAACAGGTCTCCAAGGAGAGGAGGGAAAGTGAGCATACCTGCCTGATCTCAACCTTCAAAGACAGGAAGCCAAAATGTTGCTAGAGCAGAAAACACAAATCCAAGAACTTAGACTATCTCCTGGTATTCCTTTAAATATTTCAGGGCATCCGCTACCAGCAAGGAGGCTGTGGAGGATGCATCAGACTTAGTCTGCTGCTCATAAAGGAACTGTTTACAGTGAGGCAGGAAAGGAAAATGCCAGATTCCTACAATCTCTTATAAATACATCGCCTTATAAGTCAGCAGCTTCTAAGCATCAACGTCCAAACTGCAGTGAAAGTGCCCAGCTGCATGAACAAAGTGAACTCTTTTAAGTGTCTGAGACCAGGAGACAGATCTGGCAACCATGGAGGGCAATGCAGCACCTACCCTAGCACCAGAACTGGTACAGCTTTACTGAACCACAGCGATACAGTCATTTTTAAGGTGGAATTTATGGAGGAACTAACATACAGCCAGCATCCTGGCTCTCTTGGGCTTTCAGCCTCGCAGGTCTTTGGCTGCACTGTGGTACCACCTACCCCGCAGCCATTCCCTGCCATCCTACCGTGGTAATGCTGTGGTGAAAAAGCCAATTTCTGCATGAGTAGCACTGTCCCGAGGAGAAGCTGAGCCCTCCAGGCTGGGCATCCTAGCCCCACCAAATCCCCCATGTAAGCATATGGTGGTGGTTCTCAAGGTCCCGAGCTGCAGTATGCCTGGAGCTGGGTGTCTCCATGCTCATGGTAAATGTGCCATAAAAAGCCTTGGTCTGAAACCACAGTAAGAAATGAAGACCCCCCTCCAATGACACTTGTGTCTGAAAAGCAGCGAGGCATAACAATTGTGACAGCAGGAGGAGACTGAGGCATTTATGTAGCTCTGAGGATTGATCTGTAAGTTAATAAGCAGGCATCCCCAGCTAGCGCTTCGATTTAGAGGTGAGAAAGCTCATCCTAAAGTACTGAGCAGAGCACACTGCCACGCACCAGCGTGGGAAGAATTAAAAGACATTACCTGCTTCTTGTGGGGCCGTCGGGTGGTTTTAGTCCTCAGAAAGGTTGCAGTGTAGATGCAGGCGTCCCTGCAGTGGAGATCTGTTGGGTCTGCAGGTACCGGGGCAGGGTGCTGCTCCGTGTGGGGCACAGCTGTCTGGGAGCCTGCTGTCAGCAGCTCAGGAGCGCTGTAGCACAGCAATGAACTCTTGTTCTCCAAAAGTGGTTCATTTATCACCTACTTTTTGGGACGGTGGAGTCTCTGGTGCCCTCTGTTGTTCTTCTCACATCAGCTGAATGCTTCCGCATCATTTTTTCCACCCAGTCTGCGCTCCCCCCGACTCGCCTCACACAAGCTAGCAATTAAAATTTAATTTCAGTCGTGGGAAAGCAAATAATTTCTGAAATAAAACCCATAACGACTGCAAATTGTGCTTCTGGCAGCTAAAGGTCCCCTGGGGAGCAGAGCAGCCCCGGGCAGCCTCCGGTGCGGTTGCAGAGCATGCCCCAGGCAGGCAGCAGTGTGGGGCCCGATGGCCTTTCCGAGGGGGCACGTCAGTGCTCACACACTCCATGACAGCTTCACCCCAAGCTTCTTTTTGGTTTCTTTGCAGGAAAGGTGACAGACGCTACGGGCCTGCTTGTCCTCTGTGAAGCAGCCAGGTGTCTAACACTGCTCATCAGCACCACTGCCAAGCCCAAGCTGGTAATGAGGGTAACTGCCAACAGGACACAGGTGAGACATGCTGGTGTGGCACTGAGAACCTTGTAGGTGTTGGGACCTTTAGAAATATGTAAGAATATGCCCCAGTGGTATTTTATAGTCGTTTGGGTGGCTTTTGCTGTCTGCTGGCTCTAGCAGTTGCAGTCCCATCTGTGTGAGCCAGCTGATGGGAGCCAGATGCTGACTCCCTCAGGGTTTGTCTCATTAGTTCATGTCTCCTGGGATCGCGGTCCCAAAGGTGACAACAGCAGACTGAGCAGCAGCCGTGGGCTCCCTGATGGCCTGAAGGTCACAGGGGAAACTGCATAAGTGGTCGGGGAAGACTCTTCCACACTCTCTCTTGAAGCACTCCAAGCATTGCCTGGGCAGAGCTTGGAGGCCATTTGGAGGTTTTTTCAGCATTTAGAGAGAAAAAAAACAACCAGTCCCAGGGAGCATTTGAATAACATGAAAGGGGTCAGTCCACTTCCCACCTTCCCTGACTTTTCTAGACGGCTGGCTCATGGACGAAGGCATTTCCCTCATTGAAGTGCTAGGGGTATCAATGTGGGCAGGCCATGGAAACCCAGCCCCAGCTGTGTCCAGTTGCAGGGTGATACTCTGACCCTGAGCTGCGGCCAGGAGGGTGAACCTGGGGGCCAGTTTGGTGCCACCACATAAACCCAGGGAGTAGCATTGCAGGGGTGGCAAAGGTCTAGACAGAGTTAAAAGGGCTTCCCCATGGGTGGGAGCAGCAGCCCCTTGGGAATGGCTGCTCTGAGGTGCCTCTGTGCCAGGGCTCAGCAGAGGGACTCAGCTCTGAAATCTCCCAGTCTTTGTGCCTTTATGGCACTCGCTTTCATCCTAAAAGGGTTCCTTCACGTACATCTGACCCATCCGACTTGAAGGGGAAGGGCAGTTAGCAGAGTCAAGACTTTTGTAGGACCGTTTACTTGGTAATATGGTGGTACCACCTGACACCCACCCCACTCTCCCCGGCCCAAGGAATATGATAAAAATAAATTGGATTATTTTAATAACACAAAGAACCTAAAATACACAATGAGGACAAACATGAGATATCCTTTTGTACTTGTTGGCAATAAGGAACAGTTGAATGTAGCTGCAAAATGAACTAAACCAGGGAGACATATGGGTCACCAGTCTTCCTGTAAGACTAATGAATAGGTGCTGGAGGGTGGAATGGAGACATGTTAGTGGCCGGTGATTACATACACACTTTACACATCTCTGTGAAATAACTTATTTGTTTAATAGAAACATAGAGTATAAATTGCAGATAACTTAGTAACACAAAGCTATCTCTAGAGAGAAAGAGCAATAGTTATCCCACTAACACTGAAGCTGTAGCTTCTCTTGATGATACGGAGTTGTTGTGGTGGTTTTTGGGTTTGGTGTTTTTCACCCCTCTCCACGCCCCGGCTCCCTCCCATCCTTTAGCACGTGTATGTCTGAAAGGGGGGGGTTTGATTTGTTTGTTCAGGGCTAGATTTGGGCAGTGGAAGGGCTTCATGGAACTCCTTGCTCACAAAGTAGTAGCAGATGCTGTCCAGGCAGCAGTTGGATGTGGCAATACACCTTGTCACAGAGGAGAAGTTCTTCATAACCTGGAGCATGAAACAGGTAGCTTCGACTCTCTCCAACTTTTCTAGACGGCTGGCTCATGGACGAAGGCATTTCCCTCATTGAAGTGCTAGGGGTATCAATGTGGGCAGGCCATGGAAACCCAGCCCCAGCTGTGTCCAGTTGCAGGGTGATACTCTGACCCTGAGCTGCGGCCAGGAGGGTGAACCTGGGGGCCAGTTTGGTGCCACCACATAAACCCAGGGAGTAGCATTGCAGGGGTGGCAAAGGTCTAGACAGAGTTAAAAGGGCTTCCCCATGGGTGGGAGCAGCAGCCCCTTGGGAATGGCTGCTCTGAGGTGCCTCTGTGCCAGGGCTCAGCAGAGGGACTCAGCTCTGAAATCTCCCAGTCTTTGTGCCTTTATGGCACTCGCTTTCATCCTAAAAGGGTTCCTTCACGTACATCTGAAGGGGAAGGGCAGTTAGCAGAGTCAAGACTTTTGTAGGACCGTTTACTTGGTAATATGGTGGTACCACCTGACACCCACCCCACTCTCCCCGGCCCAAGGAATATGATAAAAATAAATTGGATTATTTTAATAACACAAAGAACCTAAAATACACAATGAGGACAAACATGAGATATCCTTTTGTACTTGTTGGCAATAAGGAACAGTTGAATGTAGCTGCAAAATGAACTAAACCAGGGAGACATATGGGTCACCAGTCTTCCTGTAAGACTAATGAATAGGTGCTGGAGGGTGGAATGGAGACATGTTAGTGGCCGGTGATTACATACACACTTTACACATCTCTGTGAAATAACTTATTTGTTTAATAGAAACATAGAGTATAAATTGCAGATAACTTAGTAACACAAAGCTATCTCTAGAGAGAAAGAGCAATAGTTATCCCACTAACACTGAAGCTGTAGCTTCTCTTGATGATACGGAGTTGTTGTGGTGGTTTTTGGGTTTGGTGTTTTTCACCCCTCTCCACGCCCCGGCTCCCTCCCATCCTTTAGCACGTGTATGTCTGAAAGGGGGGGGGTTGATTTGTTTGTTCAGGGCTAGATTTGGGCAGTGGAAGGGCTTCATGGAACTCCTTGCTCACAAAGTAGTAGCAGATGCTGTCCAGGCAGCAGTTGGATGTGGCAATACACCTTGTCACAGAGGAGAAGTTCTTCATAACCTGGAGCATGAAACAGGTAGCTTCGACTCTCTCCATTATGAACCTGGCAAGTACCCCAAGGCTGGCTGGCAGAAAACATACTAGAAATACAATCAAATTTGCATAGATAATGTGAATAGCTTTCTGGATTGATTTATCCTCTGGTGAATTCGTGTTCAGATGTCTCTTAAGGTTCCTGATTACTTCTGTGGAGCAAAAAGTCAAGATTGCTAATGGAAGAGTAAAAGCGAAGAAAATGGAAAGCAGGCTCAGAGTAGTGGGCGTGGAGGAATCCTTCTGAAAGCAGAAAGCAGCATGTCTCTGCCAAAGGCTTAAGGTGGTACCGATTATCACAGAGACCCACAGAAGCCCACAGAGAAGGGCAGCCTTTGATGGAGACCTGAAGGTCCTGGCTTTCATTGGATGCTTTATAGCGATATATCGATCGATGGAGATAAATGAAACGATGTAGGTGCTCACTATCATGTTGATAATATATATTGCCTCTATAAACTGGCAGAGTTCATTTCGATTTGACTTACTCCAGAGCAAATAAGACATGGAAGGCAAGGTGCAGATGACGAAGCAGTCTGCAAAGACTAAATTGATCACATACACTTTTGTTTCTGTCCACTTCTTTATCTTGCAGAAGAAAACCCAGAGGGCAAGGCCATTAAATACTGCTCCAAAAAAGAAAATGAGGTTATACAGAACAAGTTCAATGAGACGAACATGATGATACACTTCTAGATCTGTGGCACTGCAGTTGTTGGATGTATTCATGGTCCTGATGCGTAGGTGTTGTATGATGTTCTGAGACCTGAAATGGGAAAAGACATAGTAAGAATTTCCTCCTACCTCTTAATAGATGCATGGCTCCTGTAAAAAAAGGGTATTTAAGTAAACATTTACTTTGTTATGAATGTGTATTTGAGTCTACAAACTGACCTTCTCAGTCAGCCTGTAGCTGGGATACATCCTTTGTCAAGCTTTGTTTACTTTTACTCAGTCTATGAGGTAGACTTCCAATAGACCATGGCAGACAGCCTTTATTAAATAGGAGGATTTTGAATGGAGGGGAGGAATAGCACTCAGAAGAGACCCCACAGGAAGCAAGGGCATCCTGTAACTAATTCTTTAAGCCAGGCTGCACAAATGAAGTAAAAATACACTTAGCTTGGTTTTGAACTAGGCAGGGATTGCAGCAACCAAAGCTAAAGCCCAGTGCAACTCATGAGCAAAAGCTCTACTATCAGTTCTGCTGGTTTGGGAGACAGACTGGGGAGTGAAGGCCTGCAAGAGCAAATGTCACTCGGTAGACATCATCACGCTCTGGGTCTAACTGGGCCTTTGGGCTGCCTTGTGAAGCTGGAGCTCCTGCTCCAGGCTGAGGCAAACAGAGCTGAATCTGAGTTCCTGCATCCCAAAGTCATGCTTGAAACCTCAAGGGAGTGGAGCATGCGGCTCTCCACCTCCTTGGGAGGGGACTACGGGTTGGAAGGATTAACCTGATTTTAAGCCCATTCATTCCAGGAGAGAGTATGAGTCTGCAGATATAAGGCAGAAAGACACACCTGAAAGAGGAAATGCCAGTGCAAAACAAGGACGGGCATTAGATGGTTCCTGCTCAAGGCAGACACCCTGCCACCCTGAGAAATCCATTGTATGTAAGTAGTACATTTATAAATACTGAGCCTCTGCCACACTGGTTACTACATGTTTTGCAAGAGTATTGGTTGTGTGAAGAGTGTGAGTTCATGGGCTGATAAAAATCAGCTTTCATCAGACCCCATCCTGTGCGAAGTGGCTCTATGTGACGTGCACATGGAACACTTCTCTGAACTGGTGATTCTGTGTATATGTCACTGAATTTCTGCTTGCATCTAAATGTGCCTTGGAAAGAATTTATCTTTTTAATTTAAAATAAGTTATTTACCACCCTAACAGGAGAATGAAGTGGCGAGGGAGCCGGTAAAATCCTACAGCTTTCAGAGGTGTAGGAAGGGACACCATGACTGAACATGCCTGGTTAAGCAGTTATTTGCCTCTGCAAACAATGCAGACCTTGCAGTCAGTTGGTAAGGGCACTGCCTGCAAAATCAGATATCCGTTCTGAAGAAACTGATAAACACACAAATAACTCCATTTCTGGAGGGATATGTGTCTTGGGCACTAGCAGACACTGTTGTGACTCCTGCGTAGAGCGCTCTCCCAGTTCTTGTGTGGTCAGGTCTGGGTTTCCCAACAGAAGCTTGCTGCTCGTTGCTGGCATGCTGGAAGGAAGCTGACAGCTGTCACTCGAGGAAAACTGCTCTGAACTACAGTAAGTAATGGCAGGGAAACAGCTTCCATCAAGGGCTGAAGCTGCCACATCGTTATGCTGGCTAACGGCATGAGGCAGGTGCATTTGGCCAATGTTCAGGTTGCTTTTCATTGACCCTGGTCTGCAACTCCAGCAGCAGCCTCCTTGACCTACAACACAGGTTTGCTCTGCAGTGTGAAAGGGCTTTGGGCAACACCATCGTTGGAGCTGGAGATGTGGCCCCAAATGCAGTTCCCAGCATCAGGGCTTGCAAGTGCTCCAGGCCAGGAGGTAGCAGAGGCTGGGGGGAGGAGGGAGGAAATGAGCAGAGGGTTTTAAAACAAGCCACATAGCACAGATAGATACGGTATGGCTGAGCGGAAAAAGAGATGCAGTTTGATAAGTTGGCATATCCTGTGGCTGACAGAAACGCTTAGGGTGGGGTAGGAGAGATGGCTGCAGCTTCAGAGGAGATAGGGAACCTACAGCTGTAAGAAAAGGACTGAGATGACTGTAAAACAGCGTGGTGTTGCTGCTGGAGAACCAGGAACAGGCTGGGGCTCAACAGACAAGGTCACTGGTATGGTGGAGTATGTCCTGATTTCCCCTCACCATAGACTGGGGAGAGTTGTCCCCTGCCATGGAAGCTGGTGACCACCTGGGGAGGAAGGCCAGGTCTGGGCTCATTTCTTCCAGCAGCTCAAGAAGTGGCAGGCTTCTTCCAGTCCCTTAACAGAGAGCTCGGAGGAAGAGAGGCTGAAGGAGCAGTGGGTGTTGCAGTAGCACCATGGTGACAAACTCCCAATGTATTTCCCAGTGGGATGCCTGTGGAGAAGCAGCTGCACTGGCAGTGTTGTCTTGTGTGTAAAATACTCCTCCTGCCTTGTGCGGGGAACTCAGAAGTGAGCAGGTATCAGAGGAGCAAAGGGTGAATGCAGTGGGTGAAATGACTAAGGACACCATGGGAGGCAAGGGGGACTTCTGGGGTGAGTGAGGGAAAGGACTTGGAATTAAGCAGAGGAAGATGAAGATGGAGAATGGGGTGGGAAGGATGGGGTACAGCACAGCATCTTCTGCATCAAGTGCCTTCAAACCTGCCACCTCCACGGCAACTACCCTGATTTTCACCAACTTTCCTATAATGAATGAGCTATCAGTGAGGACTTAATAAATATGCTGCACAGATATGAGAACAGACTTGGTCAGGGCAGTACTTCCCAGGGGTGTTAATCTAACCATAGGCACTGCTGGCCATGCCCTGGGCACTGAGCTGACCTGGGAGGGAAGCACAACCATAAAGAGAGAGCAGATAAACCGTCACCATGGCAGAAGAGCTCTAGGTGAGGGCCCTGCCACAGCACTTCAGTGAGGTGTTTTTCCTTTCTGTTTTCAAGCAGCATAAAGAAACCTGGAAACTTCCTGCTCTGACCTTGCTGCTGTTGTTTGCTGCTCTCAAACACGGTCATCTAAGGCACGGCACTTTTTTCATTTCTTTCTTGAAACTTGTGTTCTTTCAGGCTTATCTACATCCCTTGAAAACAGTAATGCAGTCACCCTAACCACAGAACTACTTTGAAAGAACCTGGAAAGGAATGCAAGGGTTCACCGAGACAAAAAAAAAGAAATCTTTTGGAATTGCTTGTTTCCCATGTTGTGATGAATTTAGCTTCCAGTTCCCAGCTGCTTTTAGGAAGTAATATACTGTAAAAGTAAAGTACCCGGAGAATACCTCAGAGTAAGAACAGAAACCACAAGGCTTAGAGATCACAATCTACTGTTGGTACCTCTGCATCCCCGGGACTGCACTGCCCTGCAGAAACTAGGCACCTAAGCCTCCTCTCCTCCTCCCAGCCACAGCAGGACCCTGAGCAGCAGTTCACAGACAGCAAGAGAGAATGAAACAAAGTGATGTTACCTGTAGGTTTAATGCCACAAAATCAGCAGCGGGTCCCGCTGGAGGCAGGGCATGTGGGGTATATGCAGCCACGCGTCCTGGCCAGGAGGAGTGGGGCTAGCTGGGCCACTCAGTGGGGCTGGAGGACAAGCACGAATTGCATGCTCGCTGGTACTTGAGGGCTTCTATAGCACCTCCTCCTCCTGCGTAGGAGATGATTTTATGTCTGTTCGGTCTTGAAGATCAATGATGGCAATACTTATCAGTGAGGTCTAGCGCATCATCACTCAGCACTTCCTAAAATGCTGTTTCCAACAGCTAGCAGTGGTATTCCGCAACTGTGGATTTGAAATGTTGTGCCAAAACCTAAGCCAAGCAAAGCCAGGAAGATGTGATATCTGGTATTAGATCACCTGGTGCAGCTGGAGGTGCAGGGCCCTCCAGCTGAGTGCTGAACTGAGTCATGCTTGCACAGCTCTGGGTGGGAAGGCCCCTTGGGATGGGTTTGGTGCCTGGGGCAAGGATGGATCAGGAGATGGCCACCATGGAGCCAGCAGCAGGTCTCCAGCCTGCTCAGTTGAGCTTGGGGATGAGAGCATGCAGGCACTGGTGTGGTGAGCGAAGGACAGCAGGATGCCACCATGGCCCAGGTGTCCCTGGCTCAGGAGGCACCAAGTGGCATCAAGCAGAGGAAGTGCTGCAGCACAGCTGTCCAGCAGACCTGTACAGGGGAGAGGACCTAATGGAAGATCCTGAAGATAAGACCCACTTGCTCTGCTCTACCACCTTGCAGCCACCTTGTAACCACAGAGATGTGCGTGCCAATTACAGCCTTCAGGAGGCAACCAGGCATTCAAAGCCCCCAGGTTCATCTGTCATGGAGGACAAACTATCATAAGGTAGGAGCCACATAAAACGTCTCTAAACCACACACTGATAAGGAAGGCATTCAGACACTATCTGGCATTTGTGAGGTGCTGTGATGGAAGTGTACTGATATGAAATGCTGCAGTGGCTCTTTGGGTTGCAGCACAGAAGAGGGACTAGAAGGTCACTGCAGGTATTTAAGGCCAGGAAAGACATGTGTGAAGAGAGCCACAAAGGAAAGGCTGTGGGAGATGTTTGCCTGTGGGAGATGTTTCCCTGTGGGAACTGCAACTGCGCTTCTGAAACAGAGGATGCTGTGAGGTATTTTTGACTGAGAGCCCAGGATGATGGCCTTGTTCACAGAGTGGTTGAGGCTGGAAGAGACCTCTTGAGGTTTAGTCCAACCCCTTGCTCAGAGCCCATTGCCCAGGGCCATGTCCAGTCTGGTTTTGAATATCTCCAAGTAAAGATTCAGATTAGATATCAGGAAGAAAATTTTTACTATGAGGGTGGTGAGACACTGGAACAGATTGCCCAGGGAAGTTGTGGATGCCCCATTCCTGCAGGGGTTCAAGGCCAGGCTGGATGTGGGCCTTGAGCAACCTGCTCTAGTGGGAGGTGTCCCTGCCCATGGCAGGGGGGTTGGAACTAGATGATCTTTGAGGTCCCTTCCAACCCTAACCATTCTATGATTCTATGATTCTATATTTCCACAAATTCTCTGGGCAACCTGTTCCAGTGTTTCATCATCTAGAGAGTAAGCATTTTTTCTTATGTTTAACGGACTTTCCTGTATTTCAGTTTGTGCCTGTTGCCTCTTATCATCTACTGTCACTGCTGTGAAGAGCTGTGTCTTCTTAACTCCCTCCCATTGGGTGTTTATACACATGGATAAGATCCTTGTGAGCCTTCTCTTCTGCAGGCTGAACAGTCCTCTCCTCACATGGGAGACACGCGAGTCCCTTAATCATCTTTGTGGCCCTTCCCTGGACCTGCTCCCGTAAGTCCATGTCTTTCTTGTATTGGAGAGCCCAGCACAGGACACAGCACTCCAGATGTGTCTCACCCAGTGCTAGGTAGAGGGGAAGGATCACTTCCCTTGACCTGCTGGCAATGCTCATCCTAATGCAGCCTCGGATGCTGCTGCCTGCCATTGCTGCAGCGACGCATTGCTGACTCATGGTCAGTTTGGTTTCCACCAGGATCCCAGATCCTTCTCTGCAAAGCTGCTTTCCAGCTGGTCAGCCCCAGCCTCTACTGGTACATGAGGTTGTTCCTCCTCAGGTGCAGGACTTGTCACTTCCCCTTGTTGAACCCATGCAGCTATTGTGGGGTTAAGCCTGCCTTGCCCTCGTCCAGTCCTGTTTTCCACAGTTTAAGTAATAGCAAAGGGTCTGCAAAGCAGAATGATATTTTTTGCCGTCCTTTATCTTTGCTGCTGCTGTGGTTATCAGAGTGCCACCTGCTTTAGGGCAGCCCGAAGCAGAGCTGGGCAGCATTCCCCCTTTGCCCTCCAGGGCCCTTGCTTTGCTGCTGAAACCGCCCCATGGGTTTACTCTGGGTCTTGCCAGCCCTGTGAACCTCCACAGGACTTGAGCCCTTCCAAATAGTTCAGGTGGCTCTACTCCTGGGGGCTACTCCTGCAGAGTGGTGGGCGGGTGGGTAGGTGGGTGCCAGCTGGGGGCAGGCTGTCCCCAAGCACAAACCCGCTCCTCTCGCTGCAGGATGCTGCAGGTGAGGAATAGCTCGGCACGCGTATCACCAGCCCCAGCAGATAACAGGTCTCCAAGGAGAGGAGGGAAAGTGAGCATACCTGCCTGATCTCAACCTTCAAAGACAGGAAGCCAAAATGTTGCTAGAGCAGAAAACACAAATCCAAGAACTTAGACTATCTCCTGGTATTCCTTTAAATATTTCAGGGCATCCGCTACCAGCAAGGAGGCTGTGGAGGATGCATCAGACTTAGTCTGCTGCTCATAAAGGAACTGTTTACAGTGAGGCAGGAAAGGAAAATGCCAGATTCCTACAATCTCTTATAAATACATCGCCTTATAAGTCAGCAGCTTCTAAGCATCAACGTCCAAACTGCAGTGAAAGTGCCCAGCTGCATGAACAAAGTGAACTCTTTTAAGTGTCTGAGACCAGGAGACAGATCTGGCAACCATGGAGGGCAATGCAGCACCTACCCTAGCACCAGAACTGGTACAGCATTACTGAACCACAGCAATACAGTCATTTTTAGGGTGGAGGAACTAACATACAGCCAGCATCCTGGCTCTCTTGGGCTTTCAGCCTCGCAGGTCTTTGGCTGCACTGTGGTACCACCTACCCCGCAGCCATTCCCTGCCATCCTACCGTGGTAATGCTGTGGTGAAAAAGCCAATTTCTGCATGAGTAGCACTGTCCCGAGGAGAAGCTGAGCCCTCCAGGCTGGGCATCCTAGCCCCACCAAATCCCCCATGTAAGCATATGGTGGTGGTTCTCAAGGTCCCGAGCTGCAGTATGCCTGGAGCTGGGTGTCTCCATGCTCATGGTAAATGTGCCATAAGAAGCCTTGGTCTGAAACCACAGTAAGAAATGAAGACCCCCCTCCAATGACACTTGTGTCTGAAAAGCAGCGAGGCATAACAATTGTGACAGCAGGAGGAGACTGAGGCATTTATGTAGCTCTGAGGATTGATCTGTAAGTTAATAAGCAGGCATCCCCAGCTAGCGCTTCGATTTAGAGGTGAGAAAGCTCATCCTAAAGTACTGAGCAGAGCACACTGCCACGCACCAGCGTGGGAAGAATTAAAAGACATTACCTGCTTCTTGTGGGGCCGTCGGGTGGTTTTAGTCCTCAGAAAGGTTGCAGTGTAGATGCAGGCGTCCCTGCAGTGGAGATCTGTTGGGTCTGCAGGTACCGGGGCAGGGTGCTGCTCCGTGTGGGGCACAGCTGTCTGGGAGCCTGCTGTCAGCAGCTCAGGAGCGCTGTAGCACAGCAATGAACTCTTGTTCTCCAAAAGTGGTTCATTTATCACCTACTTTTTGGGACGGTGGAGTCTCTGGTGCCCTCTGTTGTTCTTCTCACATCAGCTGAATGCTTCCGCATCATTTTTTCCACCCAGTCTGCGCTCCCCCCGACTCGCCTCACACAAGCTAGCAATTAAAATTTAATTTCAGTCGTGGGAAAGCAAATAATTTCTGAAATAAAACCCATAACGACTGCAAATTGTGCTTCTGGCAGCTAAAGGTCCCCTGGGGAGCAGAGCAGCCCCGGGCAGCCTCCGGTGCGGTTGCAGAGCATGCCCCAGGCAGGCAGCAGTGTGGGGCCCGATGGCCTTTCCGAGGGGGCACGTCAGTGCTCACACACTCCATGACAGCTTCACCCCAAGCTTCTTTTTGGTTTCTTTGCAGGAAAGGTGACAGACGCTACGGGCCTGCTTGTCCTCTGTGAAGCAGCCAGGTGTCTAACACTGCTCATCAGCACCACTGCCAAGCCCAAGCTGGTAATGAGGGTAACTGCCAACAGGACACAGGTGAGACATGCTGGTGTGGCACTGAGAACCTTGTAGGTGTTGGGACCTTTAGAAATATGTAAGAATATGCCCCAGTGGTATTTTATAGTCGTTTGGGTGGCTTTTGCTGTCTGCTGGCTCTAGCAGTTGCAGTCCCATCTGTGTGAGCCAGCTGATGGGAGCCAGATGCTGACTCCCTCAGGGTTTGTCTCATTAGTTCATGTCTCCTGGGATCGCGGTCCCAAAGGTGACAACAGCAGACTGAGCAGCAGCCGTGGGCTCCCTGATGGCCTGAAGGTCACAGGGGAAACTGCATAAGTGGTCGGGGAAGACTCTTCCACACTCTCTCTTGAAGCACTCCAAGCATTGCCTGGGCAGAGCTTGGAGGCCATTTGGAGGTTTTTTCAGCATTTAGAGAGAAAAAAAACAACCAGTCCCAGGGAGCATTTGAATAACATGAAAGGGGTCAGTCCACTTCCCACCTTCCCTGACTTTTCTAGACGGCTGGCTCATGGACGAAGGCATTTCCCTCATTGAAGTGCTAGGGGTATCAATGTGGGCAGGCCATGGAAACCCAGCCCCAGCTGTGTCCAGTTGCAGGGTGATACTCTGACCCTGAGCTGCGGCCAGGAGGGTGAACCTGGGGGCCAGTTTGGTGCCACCACATAAACCCAGGGAGTAGCATTGCAGGGGTGGCAAAGGTCTAGACAGAGTTAAAAGGGCTTCCCCATGGGTGGGAGCAGCAGCCCCTTGGGAATGGCTGCTCTGAGGTGCCTCTGTGCCAGGGCTCAGCAGAGGGACTCAGCTCTGAAATCTCCCAGTCTTTGTGCCTTTATGGCACTCGCTTTCATCCTAAAAGGGTTCCTTCACGTACATCTGAAGGGGAAGGGCAGTTAGCAGAGTCAAGACTTTTGTAGGACCGTTTACTTGGTAATATGGTGGTACCACCTGACACCCACCCCACTCTCCCCGGCCCAAGGAATATGATAAAAATAAATTGGATTATTTTAATAACACAAAGAACCTAAAATACACAATGAGGACAAACATGAGATATCCTTTTGTACTTGTTGGCAATAAGGAACAGTTGAATGTAGCTGCAAAATGAACTAAACCAGGGAGACATATGGGTCACCAGTCTTCCTGTAAGACTAATGAATAGGTGCTGGAGGGTGGAATGGAGACATGTTAGTGGCCGGTGATTACATACACACTTTACACATCTCTGTGAAATAACTTATTTGTTTAATAGAAACATAGAGTATAAATTGCAGATAACTTAGTAACACAAAGCTATCTCTAGAGAGAAAGAGCAATAGTTATCCCACTAACACTGAAGCTGTAGCTTCTCTTGATGATACGGAGTTGTTGTGGTGGTTTTTGGGTTTGGTGTTTTTCACCCCTCTCCACGCCCCGGCTCCCTCCCATCCTTTAGCACGTGTATGTCTGAAAGGGGGGGGTTTGATTTGTTTGTTCAGGGCTAGATTTGGGCAGTGGAAGGGCTTCATGGAACTCCTTGCTCACAAAGTAGTAGCAGATGCTGTCCAGGCAGCAGTTGGATGTGGCAATACACCTTGTCACAGAGGAGAAGTTCTTCATAACCTGGAGCATGAAACAGGTAGCTTCGACTCTCTCCATTATGAACCTGGCAAGTACCCCAAGGCTGGCTGGCAGAAAACATACTAGAAATACAATCAAATTTGCATAGATAATGTGAATAGCTTTCTGGATTGATTTATCCTCTGGTGAATTCGTGTTCAGATGTCTCTTAAGGTTCCTGATTACTTCTGTGGAGCAAAAAGTCAAGATTGCTAATGGAAGAGTAAAAGCGAAGAAAATGGAAAGCAGGCTCAGAGTAGTGGGCGTGGAGGAATCCTTCTGAAAGCAGAAAGCAGCATGTCTCTGCCAAAGGCTTAAGGTGGTACCGATTATCACAGAGACCCACAGAAGCCCACAGAGAAGGGCAGCCTTTGATGGAGACCTGAAGGTCCTGGCTTTCATTGGATGCTTTATAGCGATATATCGATCGATGGAGATAAATGAAACGATGTAGGTGCTCACTATCATGTTGATAATATATATTGCCTCTATAAACTGGCAGAGTTCATTTCGATTTGACTTACTCCAGAGCAAATAAGACATGGAAGGCAAGGTGCAGATGACGAAGCAGTCTGCAAAGACTAAATTGATCACATACACTTTTGTTTCTGTCCACTTCTTTATCTTGCAGAAGAAAACCCAGAGGGCAAGGCCATTAAATACTGCTCCAAAAAAGAAAATGAGGTTATACAGAACAAGTTCAATGAGACGAACATGATGATACACTTCTAGATCTGTGGCACTGCAGTTGTTGGATGTATTCATGGTCCTGATGCGTAGGTGTTGTATGATGTTCTGAGACCTGAAATGGGAAAAGACATAGTAAGAATTTCCTCCTACCTCTTAATAGATGCATGGCTCCTGTAAAAAAAGGGTATTTAAGTAAACATTTACTTTGTTATGAATGTGTATTTGAGTCTACAAACTGACCTTCTCAGTCAGCCTGTAGCTGGGATACATCCTTTGTCAAGCTTTGTTTACTTTTACTCAGTCTATGAGGTAGACTTCCAATAGACCATGGCAGACAGCCTTTATTAAATAGGAGGATTTTGAATGGAGGGGAGGAATAGCACTCAGAAGAGACCCCACAGGAAGCAAGGGCATCCTGTAACTAATTCTTTAAGCCAGGCTGCACAAATGAAGTAAAAATACACTTAGCTTGGTTTTGAACTAGGCAGGGATTGCAGCAACCAAAGCTAAAGCCCAGTGCAACTCATGAGCAAAAGCTCTACTATCAGTTCTGCTGGTTTGGGAGACAGACTGGGGAGTGAAGGCCTGCAAGAGCAAATGTCACTCGGTAGACATCATCACGCTCTGGGTCTAACTGGGCCTTTGGGCTGCCTTGTGAAGCTGGAGCTCCTGCTCCAGGCTGAGGCAAACAGAGCTGAATCTGAGTTCCTGCATCCCAAAGTCATGCTTGAAACCTCAAGGGAGTGGAGCATGCGGCTCTCCACCTCCTTGGGAGGGGACTACGGGTTGGAAGGATTAACCTGATTTTAAGCCCATTCATTCCAGGAGAGAGTATGAGTCTGCAGATATAAGGCAGAAAGACACACCTGAAAGAGGAAATGCCAGTGCAAAACAAGGACGGGCATTAGATGGTTCCTGCTCAAGGCAGACACCCTGCCACCCTGAGAAATCCATTGTATGTAAGTAGTACATTTATAAATACTGAGCCTCTGCCACACTGGTTACTACATGTTTTGCAAGAGTATTGGTTGTGTGAAGAGTGTGAGTTCATGGGCTGATAAAAATCAGCTTTCATCAGACCCCATCCTGTGCGAAGTGGCTCTATGTGACGTGCACGTGGAACACTTCTCTGAACTGGTGATTCTGTGTATATGTCACTGAATTTCTGCTTGCATCTAAATGTGCCTTGGAAAGAATTTATCTTTTTAATTTAAAATAAGTTATTTACCACCCTAACAGGAGAATGAAGTGGCGAGGGAGCCGGTAAAATCCTACAGCTTTCAGAGGTGTAGGAAGGGACACCATGACTGAACATGCCTGGTTAAGCAGTTATTTGCCTCTGCAAACAATGCAGACCTTGCAGTCAGTTGGTAAGGGCACTGCCTGCAAAATCAGATATCCGTTCTGAAGAAACTGATAAACACACAAATAACTCCATTTCTGGAGGGATATGTGTCTTGGGCACTAGCAGACACTGTTGTGACTCCTGCGTAGAGCGCTCTCCCAGTTCTTGTGTGGTCAGGTCTGGGTTTCCCAACAGAAGCTTGCTGCTCGTTGCTGGCATGCTGGAAGGAAGCTGACAGCTGTCACTCGAGGAAAACTGCTCTGAACTACAGTAAGTAATGGCAGGGAAACAGCTTCCATCAAGGGCTGAAGCTGCCACATCGTTATGCTGGCTAACGGCATGAGGCAGGTGCATTTGGCCAATGTTCAGGTTGCTTTTCATTGACCCTGGTCTGCAACTCCAGCAGCAGCCTCCTTGACCTACAACACAGGTTTGCTCTGCAGTGTGAAAGGGCTTTGGGCAACACCATCGTTGGAGCTGGAGATGTGGCCCCAAATGCAGTTCCCAGCATCAGGGCTTGCAAGTGCTCCAGGCCAGGAGGTAGCAGAGGCTGGGGGGAGGAGGGAGGAAATGAGCAGAGGGTTTTAAAACAAGCCACATAGCACAGATAGATACGGTATGGCTGAGCGGAAAAAGAGATGCAGTTTGATAAGTTGGCATATCCTGTGGCTGACAGAAACGCTTAGGGTGGGGTAGGAGAGATGGCTGCAGCTTCAGAGGAGATAGGGAACCTACAGCTGTAAGAAAAGGACTGAGATGACTGTAAAACAGCGTGGTGTTGCTGCTGGAGAACCAGGAACAGGCTGGGGCTCAACAGACAAGGTCACTGGTATGGTGGAGTATGTCCTGATTTCCCCTCACCATAGACTGGGGAGAGTTGTCCCCTGCCATGGAAGCTGGTGACCACCTGGGGAGGAAGGCCAGGTCTGGGCTCATTTCTTCCAGCAGCTCAAGAAGTGGCAGGCTTCTTCCAGTCCCTTAACAGAGAGCTCGGAGGAAGAGAGGCTGAAGGAGCAGTGGGTGTTGCAGTAGCACCATGGTGACAAACTCCCAATGTATTTCCCAGTGGGATGCCTGTGGAGAAGCAGCTGCACTGGCAGTGTTGTCTTGTGTGTAAAATACTCCTCCTGCCTTGTGCGGGGAACTCAGAAGTGAGCAGGTATCAGAGGAGCAAAGGGTGAATGCAGTGGGTGAAATGACTAAGGACACCATGGGAGGCAAGGGGGACTTCTGGGGTGAGTGAGGGAAAGGACTTGGAATTAAGCAGAGGAAGATGAAGATGGAGAATGGGGTGGGAAGGATGGGGTACAGCACAGCATCTTCTGCATCAAGTGCCTTCAAACCTGCCACCTCCACGGCAACTACCCTGATTTTCACCAACTTTCCTATAATGAATGAGCTATCAGTGAGGACTTAATAAATATGCTGCACAGATATGAGAACAGACTTGGTCAGGGCAGTACTTCCCAGGGGTGTTAATCTAACCATAGGCACTGCTGGCCATGCCCTGGGCACTGAGCTGACCTGGGAGGGAAGCACAACCATAAAGAGAGAGCAGATAAACCGTCACCATGGCAGAAGAGCTCTAGGTGAGGGCCCTGCCACAGCACTTCAGTGAGGTGTTTTTCCTTTCTGTTTTCAAGCAGCATAAAGAAACCTGGAAACTTCCTGCTCTGACCTTGCTGCTGTTGTTTGCTGCTCTCAAACACGGTCATCTAAGGCACGGCACTTTTTTCATTTCTTTCTTGAAACTTGTGTTCTTTCAGGCTTATCTACATCCCTTGAAAACAGTAATGCAGTCACCCTAACCACAGAACTACTTTGAAAGAACCTGGAAAGGAATGCAAGGGTTCACCGAGACAAAAAAAAAAGAAATCTTTTGGAATTGCTTGTTTCCCATGTTGTGATGAATTTAGCTTCCAGTTCCCAGCTGCTTTTAGGAAGTAATATACTGTAAAAGTAAAGTACCCGGAGAATACCTCAGAGTAAGAACAGAAACCACAAGGCTTAGAGATCACAATCTACTGTTGGTACCTCTGCATCCCCGGGACTGCACTGCCCTGCAGAAACTAGGCACCTAAGCCTCCTCTCCTCCTCCCAGCCACAGCAGGACCCTGAGCAGCAGTTCACAGACAGCAAGAGAGAATGAAACAAAGTGATGTTACCTGTAGGTTTAATGCCACAAAATCAGCAGCGGGTCCCGCTGGAGGCAGGGCATGTGGGGTATATGCAGCCACGCGTCCTGGCCAGGAGGAGTGGGGCTAGCTGGGCCACTCAGTGGGGCTGGAGGACAAGCACGAATTGCATGCTCGCTGGTACTTGAGGGCTTCTATAGCACCTCCTCCTCCTGCGTAGGAGATGATTTTATGTCTGTTCGGTCTTGAAGATCAATGATGGCAATACTTATCAGTGAGGTCTAGCGCATCATCACTCAGCACTTCCTAAAATGCTGTTTCCAACAGCTAGCAGTGGTATTCCGCAACTGTGGATTTGAAATGTTGTGCCAAAACCTAAGCCAAGCAAAGCCAGGAAGATGTGATATCTGGTATTAGATCACCTGGTGCAGCTGGAGGTGCAGGGCCCTCCAGCTGAGTGCTGAACTGAGTCATGCTTGCACAGCTCTGGGTGGGAAGGCCCCTTGGGATGGGTTTGGTGCCTGGGGCAAGGATGGGTCAGGAGATGGCCACCATGGAGCCAGCAGCAGGTCTCCAGCCTGCTCAGTTGAGCTTGGGGATGAGAGCATGCAGGCACTGGTGTGGTGAGCGAAGGACAGCAGGATGCCACCATGGCCCAGGTGTCCCTGGCTCAGGAGGCACCAAGTGGCATCAAGCAGAGGAAGTGCTGCAGCACAGCTGTCCAGCAGACCTGTACAGGGGAGAGGACCTAATGGAAGATCCTGAAGATAAGACCCACTTGCTCTGCTCTACCACCTTGCAGCCACCTTGTAACCACAGAGATGTGCGTGCCAATCACAGCCTTCAGGAGGCAACCAGGCATTCAAAGCCCCCAGGTTCATCTGTCATGGAGGACAAACTATCATAAGGTAGGAGCCACATAAAACGTCTCTAAACCACACACTGATAAGGAAGGCATTCAGACACTATCTGGCATTTGTGAGGTGCTGTGATGGAAGTGTACTGATATGAAATGCTGCAGTGGCTCTTTGGGTTGCAGCACGGAAGAGGGACTAGAAGGTCACTGCAGGTATTTAAGGCCAGGAAAGACATGTGTGAAGAGAGCCACAAAGGAAAGGCTGTGGGAGATGTTTGCCTGTGGGAGATGTTTCCCTGTGGGAACTGCAACTGCGCTTCTGAAACAGAGGATGCTGTGAGGTATTTTTGACTGAGAGCCCAGGATGATGGCCTTGTTCACAGAGTGGTTGAGGCTGGAAGAGACCTCTTGAGGTTTAGTCCAACCCCTTGCTCAGAGCCCATTGCCCAGGGCCATGTCCAGTCTGGTTTTGAATATCTCCAAGTAAAGATTCAGATTAGATATCAGGAAGAAAATTTTTACTATGAGGGTGGTGAGACACTGGAACAGATTGCCCAGGGAAGTTGTGGATGCCCCATTCCTGAAGGGGTTCAAGGCCAGGCTGGATGTGGGCCTTGAGCAACCTGCTCTAGTGGGAGGTGTCCCTGCCCATGGCAGGGGGGTTGGAACTAGATGATCTTTGAGGTCCCTTCCAACCCAAACCATTCTATGATTCTATGATTCTATATTTCCACAAATTCTCTGGGCAACCTGTTCCAGTGTTTCATCATCTAGAGAGTAAGCATTTTTTCTTATGTTTAACGGACTTTCCTGTATTTCAGTTTGTGCCTGTTGCCTCTTATCATCTACTGTCACTGCTGTGAAGAGCTGTGTCTTCTTAACTCCCTCCCATTGGGTGTTTATACACATGGATAAGATCCTTGTGAGCCTTCTCTTCTGCAGGCTGAACAGTCCTCTCCTCACATGGGAGACACGCGAGTCCCTTAATCATCTTTGTGGCCCTTCCCTGGACCTGCTCCCGTAAGTCCATGTCTTTCTTGTATTGGAGAGCCCAGCACAGGACACAGCACTCCAGATGTGTCTCACCCAGTGCTAGGTAGAGGGGAAGGATCACTTCCCTTGACCTGCTGGCAATGCTCATCCTAATGCAGCCTCGGATGCTGCTGCCTGCCATTGCTGCAGCGACGCATTGCTGACTCATGGTCAGTTTGGTTTCCACCAGGATCCCAGATCCTTCTCTGCAAAGCTGCTTTCCAGCTGGTCAGCCCCAGCCTCTACTGGTACATGAGGTTGTTCCTCCTCAGGTGCAGGACTTGTCACTTCCCCTTGTTGAACCCAATGAAGTTCCTGTCAGCCCATTTCTCCAGCCCGTCAAGTTTCCTGTAAATGGTGGCACAATCCCCTCGTGTATCGGTCGCTCCTCTTGGTTTTGATCTGCAATCTTGCTGAGGGTGCACTTTGTCCTAGTGCCAGGACTTTATTGTTTGGCATATTCATTGTTTGCCCCAGACTCCACTAGGGACTGGTCTCCAGGTGGACTTCATGCTGCTAATCACAGCCCTTGGAGCTTGGCAGTTTTCAGTCCACCTCACTGTCCATTTATCTAGCCCATAATTCCTCAGTCTGTCTATGAGGGTATTACAGTCTGTCTATGAGGGAGACAGTAAGGCTTTCAACACTAAAAGCATCCTGGCCTGTATCAGGAACAGTGTGGTGAGTAGGGCCCGAGAGGTGATTGTCCCCCTGTACTCGGCACTGTTGAGGCCTCACCTTGAGTACTGTGTCCAGTTTTGGGCCCCCTACCATAAAAAAGACATTGAGGTGCTGGAGCGGGTCCAGAGAAGGGCGACAAAGATGGTGAGGGGTCTGGAGAATAAGTCTTATGAGGAGAGGCTGAGGGAGCTGGGGTTATTCAGCCTGGAGAAGAGGAGGCTGAGGGGAGACCTTATTGCTCTCTACAACTCCCTGAAAGGAGGGTGTAGAGAGATGGGGGTCGGTCTCTTCTCCCAAGTCACAGGTGACAGGACAAGAGGAAATGGCCTCAAGTTGTGCCAGGGGAGGTTCAGGCTGGATATTAGGAAAAATTTTTTCACTGAAAGGGTTATCAGCCATTGGAATGGGCTGCCCAGGGAGGTGGTTGAGGCACCATCCCTGGAGGTGTTCAAAAGATGGGTTGATGTAGTGCTGGGAGGTATGGTTTAGTGATGCTCCTTGTTTGTTGTGTGGGTGTCTATTTTTGTCAGTTAGGTTGACGGTTGGACAAGATGATCTTTAAGGTCCCTTCCAACCTAGAAGATTCTGTGATTCTGTAAAGTTGAGATAAACAACATCCACTGCTCTCAATGCATCCATCAGAGGCAGCTGTCAGGTTGGTCAGGCATGATTTTGTAAATCCAATCACCTTCTTGTCCTTAGTATGCTTTTAAATGGTGTCCAAGAAAATTTCATCCATCTCTTTCCCAGGGGTCAAGGTGAGACTGACTGTTCTGTAGTTCCCTGGATGCTCATTCCTGTCTTTCTTGAAGATAGGGGTGACATTTGAGTAAGTCAGCAGAGGTAAAGGGAAGAGCACACCATGAGTGCCAGTTCACACACAGACCTGGCTGTAAAAAGAGAGATGCATGGCAATAGAAAATTACTTTGAGCAGGGAAAATAAAAGGAGCAGGCTAAGCTTTTCTGTGGAACATGCCAGCTCCAACTTCATCTGCTTCTGTCCAGAAATCTGCGTATAGTGCCTGGGACAGGAATAGTTCCAAAGAGAAAAGCTGCACTGAGTGTGAGGGCTGCAGCCCCTCGAAAATGGAGGGTGGACGCACTGATGGAGGGGAAGCAGAAAGTCGGGAACACCCATCTTCCAAACGGGGAGACAAGGTTTTGAACTTTGAAATGCTAAGTGGACAAAAGCCACAGGCCAGTGGGGAAGAGAGCAGGGGGGTGATGCTTTGGGGAAGCGGTGTGCTTCAGTGTCTGATAGTGTGGTGTGATGGAAATGATGCAGTGGAAACCATAAAAGCACTGTGCTTTCCCTTCCAGGGGAGACTTGTTGATAAGTGTGTTTGTGTCCGCAGACTATGGAACAGCATCGAGATGAGTCACACGAGTGTCAGCTCTGTAGAATGGCATCTGTCAGCCCCGAGAGCCAGACTGCACCTTCCTGAGAGCCCACTGCTGGGGGCATCACGCCCACAGCCCCACCGCAACGGGGCCAGACACCCACCGTGGGGAGAGGCTGATCCCTGCCATGGCTGTACAGGTGAGCTGTCAGCCCCACAGAGCTGGGGAGCTTGACCCTCTCGAACCCCTGCGTCCCCGTGGAGTGGCTGTTGCATACCCTATTGCAGGGGGAGTTGTGTAATAGTGGGGCACTGGGGTGGAAAGGGTGGCAGCATTTTGTGCTGCTGTGGGGCTGGGCACGGTGGCAGCTGCCAGGGTGGGCCCCATGGGCATGGTGCTGAGCAGGGGAGGATGCAGATGGCATCACACCAGGCAGTTGTGAGGGTGTTTCAGATGAGGTTTGCCCACAGCATACATCTGCAGTGCTGTTGCCCCGGTGCGTCTCATCTCACCCTTCCTCCTCCTCTTCATCACAGCTCAGCCCACTTTCTGATCCCGCCTGTCACTTAAGCAGACACAAATGCCTTTGTGCAGGGGCACTGCTGTCTCAAGACTGCTGCGTGTGCCCTGACACCAACACAAGCCCCCCCAGGGCAGCACTCTGCACTGGTAGTGCAGGAAATTCCTGTGTTGAAAAGTGTCCAATGGGTCATAGGGAACATTCCAGTTGCCACATACACACTTGTGCAAACACCTCAGTGCTGGACAAGCGAAACCAGGCTGTGGGGAGCAGGCTGTCCCCGTCCATACTGACACCTCTGTATTTACCAAGGCAGCCATGCTCACTGTCTGTCATTTCCAAAAAGATCCCCTCCATGGCAAGGTGGGGACAAGACCTTAATTTTCTCCTGCTGCCTGTGTTTGTGAGGAAAACAAAGCCCTCAGCCTTGGCTGTCTCCACGCCAGTGGTGCCCAAACTCACCATGATGGGTGAGCTCGGTGATGAGCCCTGCCGTGCGAGGCAGGACAGGGGTGAGCGGTGACTCACACACGCCTGTCACCTACCTACACACAGCTGTGGTTGTCTCACTGCATGGTGGGGGCCAGGGAGCTCCTGTAGGATGGTGTGGCCCAAGTGGTGGGTACCTGCCTGCTGCCTGTAGGGCAGAAAGGTCCCTCTGAGAGGGGGACAGATCTGAACACAGTTTGGGGCGGCCTGTGGAAGAAACCCTTTCTATAGCCTAAGTCATTGAGAAAGCTGTCAGTGTTGTCCATCCAAGCTCTGTCATCCATGAGCAAGTCCCAGGAGGACGGGTGTCCTGTCAGCAGGGCAGACTGCCTAGCTTCCAGTAGGTGAGGCAGAAAGACCTGAGTGTCTCCCACATGGGTTGGTGACCCCCTCAGATGGAGACAGCAGAATGTCATGGGCCACCTGTCCTAGCACTGAACCCCAAGGACCAGCTGAGGTAGGTGTGGTGGGATCCATCCCTGGCTGGACTCACGTGCACTGCCTCCTGTCCAGGATCTCTGTTTTCCTCATGGGAGAGTAGGTTGTGATCCAGGGGACAGACCCTTCCCTGAGCTGGGTGGCAGCAGTTGTTTTGTGTTGCAGGGTACAGCCTGTGGCAAGCAGAGGAGTAAATGAGCTTCTCCAGAGATGGTGTCTGTGATGGTCTTGGCACAGCCTTGTGTGCCACCATGAGCATGCAGGAGGCTTGGCCTAGGAAGGAGCCCCAAAGAGGGATGTAGGCCAGGAGGGTAGGGTAGCTGGGGGAGGAGACCATGGATGTGAGGACAGGCTGGCCACATGATCAGGAGTGACATACTCCACCTTGCGCAAAGGCTGGAAGTGACCAGGGGACACAAGAACATGACAGGAGAGGACCTCTTGGATGATGGCAGCCAAATAGCACTGGGAGAAGGTAGATCTGTGCCGGTAAAGCCAGTGGGACCTGCCTGTAAGCAGAGTGTTTAGCCTGAACACAGGGATTTGTTCCTCCAAGGAAGACAGGAGAAGGCTGTGTATGCCAGGTCCTCCTGAGGACCTATATGTTTTCCTGGCAATTTTTCACCAGTCTCCTACCAAATCTCAGTGCTAGGAAATGCTAAGATAACACAGGTTACATTTGTGTTTTGCTAAAATATGGTGCACTAAACAGGACTAGATGATGTGGTTTTGGTTGTTTTGCAAAACAGGGGGACCGCCTACATGGGATGCTGCAAACCTTCATGAGATAGCCTGGGTGACCTTTGAAGATACCACCTTTTCCATGGCAGCAAGGCAAAAACACTGTTAACCTTGGGTTTTTTTTCCTTCCCACGCCTCAACCATGAACATCTCTTTCCTACGTTACCAATTTGAACGATCACTTTGCTGTGCAATCCCATGGATGTGGAAGGTCTTCATCTTTATTAAAATTCCAAATTCAAAGCTTAATTTACAATTTATGTCCACACATTCAAGGAGGAGGAAAACACAGATGACATAAGGATAGCAATGTTTGTAAAGCCATCCATGCTTTATGCAAGGGCCGGCTGCAGCAGTACCCTGCTTGTACAGTGCTGCAGAAATACATGTTCAGCCTCGTTGACGTTGATGCTATAGACTCATATCATAGATTTCTTGAGCTGAAAGAAACCCCTTTGCTCTTTTTTTAACCATAAGCACTGGTTTGTTTCTGCGTGCCCTGCACTGGGGTGGAGACACCTGATATATTTCGAGAGCTGCAGCAGATTTTTTTATCTTTCTCTCAACTGCAGCACACACCAAATAATTGGCTTTGTTATAGGAAGCACCAGAGAAGAGTGGAGACAGATCTGATAATTATAACACATGCTCGCCTGACCTTGTTCTGCTCCCAGGAGGACAAATCAGTTTATCCTTGGCTTTTGCCAACAAGTCTGTAATTTGCCTTCCCATTTCTACATTTGAACAGAGGCACATCCAGACTAGGAGGAGCATTCACTCCTCCAGTGTAGCACATGCAAGTGCTAGAGGCTTTTGCTTGTATTTTTGGACTTGGCCCATGGGCAATACTTGTTCCCGGTCTTCTAAGTGTTACTGGCATAGATTAGGTTAAATTTATATACACTGATTTCCTGGAAGAAAAGTGTCCTTAAAAGTCACTGCCCTCTGGATTCATTACCCTTCATCCCCCATGCTTATTTTTCCACTTGTCTTCTAAACTACACTGTATCTTGGTTTTTACAAACGCAGATGAGAACATACAGTTTAGCTGAGAGGTTGTCCCCTACAGAAATGTCTCAGTTGCCCCATGTGGTGGCAGTTTCTACAGGTCATAAAAGGAAGTCCCCCCTCCAGCCGTTGCCCCACTCTCTGCACCAGCTAAGGGGGGGGACATGGCAGTGCTGCTGCCTCCTCCCAGGGGCAGGGGTGGCTAATCAGCACATCATCAGCCTTTTCGGGTACTGAGGTGGGTGGTGGCTCCAGCACAGCTCTGCTCAAAGACCTGGAGCTGACGCTGCACTGCGCGCCCACAGGCGTGCGAAACAGAACACGTGGAAAGAGAGCAGAAAACAAACCAAAAGCTAATGGCCATTTTCTCATTTTTGAAGTCATCACAGAATCTTCTAGGTTGGAAGGGACCTTAAAGATCATCTTGTCCAACCGTCAACCTAACTGACAAAAATAGACACCCACACAACAAACAAGGAGCATCATCACTAAACCATACCTCCCAGCACGACATCAACCCATCTTTTGAACACCTCCAGGGATGGTGCCTCAACCACCTCCCTGGGCAGCCCATTCCAATGGCTGATAACCCTTTCGGTGAAAAAATTTTTCCTAATATCCAGCCTGAACCTACCCTGGCGCAACTTGAGGCCATTTCCTCTTGTCCTGTCGCCTGTGACTTGAGCACTCGGAGTCCCGTTTCCTCAAGTGATCTTGCCTGTAGAGAAAAATGACCATACCATGCCATACTGACCCAAAACACCCAATATATCATTAAACTGCGGACTTTTTGCTGCGGGAGGCCAGGGGCAGGAAGGCAGTCAGTTCACAGAGGTACGGGGAGGAAGAATGTTCCGTAAACATGCACTTTTCAGAAAGAAAATTATTCCCATCATTTAAGAACTGGCAATGACTCAGCAAAGGAGAGGTGACAAATTAGATTCAAATCCATTTGTGAAAGGTGGTATTGCATCTGTGCCAAAAAGCTGCTGGTTTATCACAGATCCCAAAACATTCAGGAGCAAATGTTCCACCTGATCTGTTTCCATTTCCTGAAATGGAAAACAAATTTAGGAATACAGTTTAATAACAAGCTTAACAAATTAAATTTTAGGAATGACTCGTTCACCCTTTGATTCAATGACAGCCAATGAGCTAACTGATTCTAGGGAGGGAGGTTAAGCAGAGAGGTTATTAGTGCCAAAGAGTTATATTTTAATCTCCTCTTCGTTGCTGTGTAGCAGATAACCATGCACGTTTCTGCTGGAGAGGTGAGCCATGCACAGGAAGGGAGCAGATAAGCAAAAAAAACCCACAGAACCGCATGAAAAAGAGTAGTACAGCACGGCAGCTTCGTTAGCGATAGAGCAGCGATGGCTGATAACGTGACCGTGTCACAGCGTCACGCAGGGCGCTGCCGCCACACGGACACCCCTGCTCACGGGCTGGTGTCCTCTACGGGCTGCACTGAACGGGAGGTGGAAACCCACCAAAAAAAACGACATCAAAGTGCCCACCACCAGGGTAGACTGGCATGGAGGAGTCCCTGGATGGTGACCTCCACCTGGTCCTCCAAATGCCACAGGTGACCTGCATCAAACCTGCTAATAGTGTCACTACAGAACCCAATGCTTGAAGCTCTGCCTGACCTCAAGCACACCATCGGTTTCCAAATCATACGTGAGGCACAAGCTGTGCCCAGCTAACCAAGGACATGACAGGACTGCACTGGAAGACTTAGGATGTTGTTTTATCCCTCCTGCATGAACAGACGGGTAACATTACGATGCACGAGTGCCGTAAGCACCTGCTGTCCCAGCCCCAGCAAAGATCAATGTCTCATCAAGGATTAAGTGGCTAAATACTTGTTTCTGATCAGAGATTCACCAGATCTGTCAATAACATTACACAGCTCCAAAGCACTGGGGATGGAGGGCACACCAGCTAATGCTGGATTTTTCCATCCTGTGTGTGCTATCAAGCATTCAATATAATTAAACTGTGCAATTGGAATAAAGGGATTTAAAGCAAATGACGCTACCCTGAGTCTGCTGGGTGGTGTGAGCTATAGATCTGTCTGTGCATTTATAGAAAATGTGATGTCAGTGATTGGATTGATTGATAACCTTTGTAGGACTGCCTTTTAGATTAAAACATTAAGTTGTTCATGTTTGCTTTGCTTTTCAGTACAGCGAAGCGTATACACATACCTATAAATGTCAACCTGTCCTGTTTCTGGAGCTGTGCTGACATACTACACTCAGAGAACAAAACAGAAGATCAAAGCCCATGAGCTTGGCTGATGAGCACAGGCTCTGGGAGATGGGTATATTTCCCCCTTGCACGGACACAAAGCAAGGAAAATGTGCTTTGAGAAGTTCGGCTCCAGACTCTGCCACTGGAATTTAGTTTGAACGTGGACATTTTGGCTTTCAGCATCTCACAGCGACAGATTTCCACCGAGGCATTTTCTCTCTTACTTAATTGCACATTCACTCTGTCATCCAACTACTCATCACCGGTGAGAACTCAATGCAGCACGACACTTGAAACCCCCTGACCTTGTGCCACAGACAGCCTTTTGTCCCAAGCCCTGACAACACGACAGCTTTGCCAGAGTACACCTGCCCTCCATGGGCCTCCCACTTGAAGACCTCTGTGTTGTCTAGAAAAAAAAGAAACCAAACTTGTGCAGGAAATTTGGCCAAAAAGACACCGTATCATGGTGGCCCCTCTCCTCCCCAGCCCTGAGCGAGCACGGGGCTGCACAGAACAGTGAGCTGTGGGCGTCAGGGAGTGTGTAAGGAGGGGAAAACCAAGAAGTCCTTAAAGTTGTGCTGGATCCCTCTTAAGTTCAAGGTTTATTTGATGGCTGGGGTTTTGTCTGCTTTGCCCCATTACATTTCTTCTGTGCAACAGCCTTTCACCACAACTTCCTACTCAGGAAAGCAACAAATTTCCCCACAGTTCCTTTGTGCAAAGATCTGACCACAGTGCGATTTCCAGATGCTAGTGATAGTGACCCTGAGCCTGCAGATAAAACTCACACCACCTTACGACATCAATGCCATCTTCTGCCTTTTCAGGGCAGCGTTTCACTTCGTATTAGTCAAGTGACCTCTACACCTGCCCCAGTTTTGTTGTTGTCGTAGTCAGAACAGCCTCTTACTTGGGTCCCCTCCTATGTTTAGTGGTTTAAGTGCTTCTAATGGTTTAAAATACTAGCTTATTGCAGTTTTGTTGCATTTTTTGCATTTATTGCACTTACTTATTGGTGGTTTTGGAGAAGGCAAGACCTTCTGTGGGAGATTGGTCCTCGGGAGACATCACAGTCTTCCTTATGGACACAGTGATGTGACCGACTGCTGTGCTAATCCAGCTGCTTCAGAAAGCACTGAGCAGCTCTCCCAGCGAGAGGCCCCTGTTAACAGATCAGGGCTAACCATGCAGGAAAAAACATTTTGGGGTTTCTTGCTGGCAGTCTCTGGCTTCTGCTGACATCAACACTGCTGCATACGTAGAAGTTCATGAGAAATCCCCACCTGAAACCTGAGGTTTCTGAGCAAATCTGCCGCTCTAAAACGCACGCTCAGAATTCACCCTCTGATAAATACTTTGTAGAGAGTAAACCCATGAACTCCTGGGTCCTGCTGCAGCAGGAACCTCTGGGGACATGTGTCCTGCTGCAAGTTGCTGATGCAGCTTCAGGCAACTGCTTCTTTCCAACAGTCCCTCAAACGTGCCCCTTATTCATTTCACTAAATCAGTATCTTTTTGGCATTTTGACTAAGATGTGTGCAGTCACTCTACTCACCATGGCCTTGGGCAAAGTACGGTGTGTCTTGCACGCAGATGAAATCTCTTCTCTAGTAGTTCTCCTCTCCTCCCTGAAGTAAAAGGTCAAGGAAAAATTAATCTCTTCTGCTGGTGTTACCACAAGGCATACAACAAAATCAGATGTGGTATTTATTTCTTGCCTCATAGACCCCCGGGGTTTAAAAACTTGCAGGTACAGGAAAGAATTGTCTGTGACTTAGATTAATTTTAAAAGTAATTTTCTACTTTGCTACAAGGTGGCAGAGTTATAAATTAGTTTTATGGAAACTCTGGGGTGCTAAAACTGCTAATGTCCCTGTAACCCTTAGTTGCTGTAGGAAGGAGGACATCAATCCTCCATGTGGCTGTGAGAGCAGACTTGTCACCTTAGCCACCTAAACCCGTGTGAGATGTCCCCCAGCAGTGACACCACGGCAAGGTCTACCGCAGGGGCTCAGCACACTGCTGAAGGCACCAGCTGCACAAATGGGCTTTCCTCCAGCGTGAGCAATCCCATGCCCTGCACCCAGGGGCCAGCAGCAGCGATTAAACCAGGGTGAGGATTGAGGGGGGTCTCTGGGCACAGCGGGATGGGAAAGCTGTGACAGGCACCTCCAGCACCACCCCTGCCCCAAGCCGCTGTCGCACCCCGCATTGCTGTGACCTGCTGCCCCATGGGCCCCACATCCATTAGGCTTTTTTATTTTTCCCATTGCCAAACTGTAGTTTCCCAGAGGATTGCTTCCTTTTACTATTGCAGAGGACTGCTCTCCCCAGCAGAAAATGCCGCTCTGGGAGCAGCCCTCTTCTCCAGGACTATTCTGAGCAGCTTTTTACTTTGACCTTTCCAATTTCATGCACCTTGCACCAAAATGCAGGCTGTATTTTGTTCCCTCTTACATTAGCATAATTCCAGAGTGACACTTTAACAGCTGGACAGACCTAGACCCTCATATAGAAATACCTGTTGCTAGTAAATCCGAGCAAAACCATGTTCTTTGCTTGAACAGGGAGGAAATTATTTGCCCAACTTGCTTACGTGCTTAGTACAAAAAGGAGTGGTTCCTCCTTTCCCTTCCACCGAATTACACGAATTTCGTTGAAAACCTTTTGTCACAGGAAACCCCTGATTGATTTGCTTTCCCAATTTTGGATCATTGCATTGCTTTTCCTCTAAACAGCGATCAGTCTTCATTTTGCTGGCAGGCTATTTTGCAGTAGCTCTGTGGGGAATTAACACTACTACGTTCCTAATTGCTCTGTTGGCTGCTATAACAACGCAGGTCATCAGAAGGTTCTATTCAGGGGAAAATATTGTCTGAACTACCTGTCTAAAGATCAGTTTTTGACTTTGTGTCACCACTTGCAGCTTAGACAGAGATTTTAAGCGTGAGCGTTTCCACCCTCTCCCCAATTTGGATTAGCCCCACAGTATGTGGGCAGGTCCTCACACCAGCCACATTTCCTTTTGGCATTTGGGCAGGTACAGCTCCCCCAGCCTCAGGCCCCTCTCCAGGGAAGGGCTCAGCCCCTGTTTGGGAGGGAGGCAGTCAGCCCCACCAACGGCAGCAGCACCTGAAGTCCTAAATCCGGTCGGGGCTATTTTTAAGGTCCTACACACACACAGTAAAAGCCATTCCTGCCCAAAACAGCTTGGAGTTTAAAATACCTAGTTCTAAAAACACAGCATCACCAGCATTAGCCACAACACAGCACAAACACCCCTACTAACCCAGTGCTGTACACGTGCCCAAGGCAATGATGAGCCCTACCAGCCACAGCCAATGGCCCCACAGAATGGTATTTCACGATAGGTCTTTCACAACCAGCATTCTGTATTTATTTTTTTTTTTTTTAAAGTCAGAGTTTACAGCCCTGTGTCTCGTCTTCTTGAATTAGTACCCGCTCAGCCTTTCCAAGCCAATGGGAGCGTGCTGCGGTACTCGCGGTGGGTGAAGCTTGTTGCTTGTGTCTAGGGGGTGTACACAAATTAATAAGCTTTGCCATTTTGAGCTGTTTACACGAGCAGGGGCTGGTGGGGCGGTTTTGGGGCTGAGAAGAGTTGATTGATTTTCCTGAGAGCAAGCTCAGCTCTGTAGCAGCTGAGCTGCACTGCTAAGGAGACAGCAAGGGCCGGTGTAGTGCAGGGAGGGGGAACCAGGAAACCCACCAGAGAATGGGGGTTTACACCTACAGCTGCTGAGACACTTTTCAGCTCTTTGAAGAAAAAAAAAAAAAAAAAAGACAAGAACCCAAAAGCCGCCATTATCATTCTTTCTTAGGGGAAGGGCTTCTTGCCATCATGCTCTCCGGTTTGTGCCCTTGCTGAAACTCATCTTTGGCACCTTAAGCTAAAGGGCTTTGCTGACACCAAGGTTAAATTTATCTGGGGGAACAGAGGCTGAAATTAATTTTAATGCAGCCAAAGAGGCTGCATTTGAGATCTAAGGTCTGCCTCGCAGACATTCCCATCGATACCACAAATATCCGGCGTGAATGACACCAGGCTTTGGCGAAATTCACATTTGTATTTCAACCTGGTCATTTGTCAGGGAAGTGAGTGTCACGTCTTGGAAGGCGGGCTCCTCTGGTGCAGCTGACAGAACACACCTCAGCTCGGCAGGAGGCTGGAGGCTGTTCTGTCATTTAGCTATAAGAATAACGACGCCTGAACCACAGCGGAATGTATCGCTTTCATGTCTGTGAACCACAATTCATCTACATTTCCTAGCCTGCCAGACATGCAGCAATATTGCAGATTTCTAGTACAGTAAAGGGTATCATCTGCTCGGCATTTCAGTGCCAAGACTTCAAAATACACCTTACGTGGCGGAGGCTTATAGACAATAACACGCGGAGTCTTTATCACTGACTCTCTTTCCCAGCAGCCCCAGGTGCTGCTCCCAGGGATGGCTCTATTTCTAACCCCTCAGTTTCAAGAAAATATGATAACCGAGCGGTGCATGCGGGCAGACAGGCACATTGCCAGAGATCCCTCTCTGCTGACGCCGCTGTGACAGCCTGGTGATCCCCAAGGCTCTGGGAAGCCCAGCCCTGCAGACACTGCCCAGGCAAGCCCAGCTGCAAAGCAAAGCATGCAGAGTGACACTGAACCCGGCCGTGTGGGGACAAGGTCCTTGGATCCTGCAGTGAAGCGTGGCAAAGTGGCATACGAGGACAAGATGAGGCCACTGGGGATGAGAATTAAAAACTCTTGAAATTTTAACTCAGTGCATGCCCAATAAGAGCTTTGGAAACCTGCCTGTGCACTCCCCACATGGACAGCATCCTCTCTGGTTCAATGTCTGCTGCCAGAGCTCACTCCTTCCACGCCACTAGTGTCACCTTACCTTAGAGCTGATGTTGAGGAGTGCCTCTAACAGGTCACTACTCCATTGCTCGCCCCAGGGCAAGTGTTCCCTTGGTGCTGCTGCTTCTTACAGCTTAATGACTGCAGCGAAGTTTTGAAAGTCCCCCAAAGAAAAGCCTATATCCATTCCTGCTTTTAATAAAATTCCTACATACTGTCAATGTTCTGAAAAATCAAAGTCTTACTGCACGACCACAGTCACCTTTCTGTGCTGTGAGCTGTTTAGACTGAACTGCTGGGGACTGAAGACAGGCTGAAGGACATTTTAAATACTTGCAGTTAGACAAAAAAAAATAAAAATAATTAAACAGCAGGTCCAGAATTGCTCTTGGGGTCCAGCTGGAGTGTCCCAGGACACCCTGCTTTTTTGTCACCATCCCCAAACCTTCACCTCGTGCTGTGCACCCTTTGAAGTGGAAAGAGGCAGCTGACACCAGGCTCACCATGTTCACCTGGGCTCTGCAGCCACAAGTGCGAAGAGGCAAGCAAGTTATCTGGTGACCTATTAAATGGCCTTGCCATTTAATTTGGCCTTGCCAAACCCTTGCTGGGGGTTTTGAGGGAGCCACATCCACAGACAGGAGCTCCAAGCACTGGGACCAGCTCCATGATGCACCTATGACACCAGGGATGCCCGTGGGAGTGGGGCAGCTTCGTGTGCACCCGGCAGCATCTGATGGCTGAAAGGGAGGGACTGCCTGACTATTTGCCCTTTTCCTAACTCTGAAAAAGTGATTTCTGGAAATGTCCATAACACTCAGAGCACAGGGACCTCTTTGGCTTTTAGTGCACTCCAGAAGCCTTAATAAGCCCTGAAAAAAAGAGAAGAAAAAGCCATTAAGCTTTTTCTTTTTTTTTTTCCACAGCCTATTATCTACCCTCTTCTTTGACAATCTTTTTCGTGACCCATCATAGGGCAAATAATGCATCAAACTGCCTTCAGTGCCAATAATCTTCCTGCACTGCCTGGCACTGCTGGGGGGCAGGGGTGCTGCCTGTGTCTGTGGCCACGCTGGGGTCCCCCAGCTCTCTGAGAAGCAGGTATTAGTGCTTTCTGCATCCTGAAACATACACACCTGTCACTGCAAAGACATGGCTTGTGGCTTAATGGCGAGCAAGTGCTTTCCTGTGTGAAGTGCTGCTGGGGGCGTAGGGGGGAGGACAGACCTCTTGTTACAAAGGCTGGTGGTGGATGAGTAATATTTTGAGGACTCTGATTTTTCTACTCCTGCACAGATAAACCAGGCATATAAAAATAATTAAAAATCAACAACAAACAAGAAAAAAAAAACCAGGAGAAAGTAAGATTTAACCCTTTTAAGATTTGAGAAAATTACATTTGTGAACTCTATGTGTCATTGACCAATTTTATAGGATATATTTTTCTACAACAGTATGTCCCCAAGATCTCTTTCATGTCACAGGTCTGCTGTAGCCTTTGAGCTGTGCCAGGGGAGCTTCACCTGATGGGCAAGGAAAGAGGTCAGTGACTCCAACTCGCCAAAGCCCTTCCCTGGTTTCCATTGAGGTTTCTGCATGGGGAATACCTTGTTTCTGTACCAGCTCCTCTTTCACATAGATGATGCTGGCTTTAGGATCTCAAGCAATGAAGAATTTTCCTTGTCTTTTTGGTGTGTAATGGGCCCCAGTGCTATATTTAAACTTTCTTTCCAGTTTGATACCCATCAGTTTTAATTTCCC